GAACCAGCCAACCGAATTAATCTTTACATTCATTTTTTTATAGTCTTGTTGAAAGTTAGGCTTGCTCGTTATGGGAGGGCTGCCCCCATTTGTGTCTCTGCCCTCACTGTATCCTTTCCCCCCCACTTTTCATAGAAGAAATGTGCTCAAGGGTGAGGATGAATATAGACCACCTGGGAATTGACCTTCCCCTGTGATCTCTCAGTTGTGCTGCTTTCCCCTAGGCAGCATAACAACATCTTCAGTAACTGTATCTAATTAAACCTTGCCTCTCAGAAAGTTACCTGGTTATCTTTATGGATAGCCTTAAATAAAGGGTGATGTGGTTTGATAAATCATAGAATCATAGAATCATAGAGTTGGAAGAGACCACAAGGGCCATCGAGTCCAACCCCCTGCCAAGCAGGAAACACCATCAGAGCACTCCTGACATATGGTTGTCAAGCCTCTGCTTAAAGACCTCCAAAGAAGGAGACTCCACCACACTCCTTGGCAGCAAATTCCACTGTCAAACAGCTCTTACTGTCAGGAAGTTCTTCCTAATGTTTAGGTGGAATCTTCTTTCTTGTAGTTTGGATCCATTGCTCCGTGTCCGCTTCTCTGGAGCAGCAGAAAACAGCCTTTCTCCCTCCTCTATGTGACATCCTTTTATATATTTGAACATGGCTATCATATCACCCCTTAACCTCCTCTTCTCCAGGCTAAACATGCCCAGCTCCCTTAGCCGTTCCTCATAAGGCATCATTTCCAGGCCTTTGACCATTTTGGTTGCCCTCCTCTGGACACGTTCCAGTTTGTCAGTGTCCTTCTTGAACTGTGGTGCCCAGAACTGGACACAGTACTCCAGGTGAGGTCTGACCAGAGCAGAATACAGTGGCACTATTACTTCCCTTGATCTAGATGCTATACTCCTATTGATGAGGCCCAGAATTGCATTGGCTTTTTTAGCTGCCGCGTCACACTGTTGGCTCATGTCAAGTTTGTGGTCAACCAAGACTCCTAGATCCTTTTCACATGTACTGCTCTCAAGCCAGGTGTCACCCATCTTGTATTTGTGCCTCTCATTTTTTTTGCCCAAGTGCAATACTTTACATTTCTCCCTGTTAAAATTCATCTTGTTTGTTTTGGCCCAGTTCTCTAATCTGTCAAGGTCGTTTTGAAGTGTGATCCTGTCCTCTGGGGTGTTAGCCACCCCTCCCAGTTTGGTGTCATCTGCAAATTTGATCAGGATGCCCTTGAGTCCATCATCCAAGTCGTTGATAAAGATGTTGAATAAGACCGGGCCCAAGACAGAACCCTGTGGCACCCCACTAGTCACTCTTCTCCAGGATGAAGAGGAACCATTGATGAGCACCCTTTGGGTTCGGTCAGTCAGCCAGTTACAAATCCACTGAGTGGTAGCATAGTCAAGACCGCATTTTACCAGCTTCTTTACAAGAATATCATGGGGCACCTTGTCAAATGCCTTGCTGAAATCAAGGTAGACTACATCCACTGCGTTCCCTTCATCTACCAGGCTTGTAATTCTGTCAAAAAACGAGATCAGGTTAGTCTGACATGACTTATTTTTCAGAAATCCATGCTGACTATTGGTGATCACAGCATTCCTTTCTAGGTGCTCACAGACTGTTTGCTTAATGATCTGCTCCAGAATCTTCCCTGGTATTGATGTCAGACTGACCGGGCGGTAATTATTTGGGTCCTCTCTTTTCCCCTTTTTGAAAATAGGGACAACATTTGCCCTCCTCCAGTCTGCCGGGACTTCGCCTGTTCTCCAGGAATTCTCAAAGATGACTGCCAGTGGTTCTGAAATCACATCTGCCAGTTCTTTTAATACTCTTGGATGCAGTTCATCTGGCCCTGGAGACTTGAATACATCTAGACTAGCCAAGTATTCTTGTACTATCTCCTTAGTTATTCTGGGCTGTGTTTCCTCTGCTGAATCATTTGCTCCAAATTCTTCAGGTCGGGCATTGTTTTCTTTATCGGAGAAGACTGAGGCAAAGAAGGCATTGAGGAGTTCAGCCCTTTCTGTGTCCCCTGTTTGCATTTCACCATCTTCTCCTCTGAGTGACCCCACGGTTTCTTTGTTCTTCCTTTTGCTACGAACATACCCATAAAAGCCTTTTTTGTTGCTTTTAACCTCTCTAGCAAGCCTGAGTTCATTTTGTGCTTTAGCTTTTCTGACTTTGTGTCTACACGTGCTGGCTATTTGTTTGACTTCCTCTTTGGTGGTTTCCCCCCTTTTCCATTTTTTGTACACATCCTTTTTTAATCTTAACTCAGTTAAAAGTTCTTTAGATAGCCACCCTGGCTTCTTTAGGCACCTTCCATGTTTCCGTCTCATTGGTATTGCCTGAAGTTGTGCTTTTACTATCTCCCTCTTAACAAACTCCCAGCCATCTTGAACTCCCTTTCCTTTTAGTATTACTGTCCATGGGATCTCACCCAGCACTTCCCTAAGCTTTATGAAGTCGGCTTTCTTAAAGTCAAAAAATTGAGTCCTAGTATGCTTGGCTGCTCCTTTCCGCTGTATAGTAAACTTCAGAAGAGCATGATCACTCGCGCCTAATGATCCTTCCACTTCTACCCCACTAACCAGGTCATCAACATTGGTTAGGACCAGATCTAAAATGGCTGTTCCTCTTGTTGCTTCTCCCACTTTCTGGACAATGAAGTTGTCTGCAAGGGCAGTGAGGAATCTGTTTGACCTTATGCTCTTGGCTGAGTTTGACATCCAACAAATATCCGGGTAATTGAAGTCCCCCATTACTACTATCTCCCTTCCTTTTGCATGCTTGGCCATCTGTTCCAGGAAGGCATCATCTATGTCCTCCGTTTGGCTTGGGGATCTATAGTAAACTCCCACAATGAGGTCACTGTTATTCTTCTCTCCCTTAATTTTGACCCAAATGCTCTCACTTTGGCTTTGAGGTTCTAAATCTTGGATCTCTTCACAGGTATACACATCCCTGACATATAACGCCACTCCTCCTCCTTTCTTGTCTGGTCTGTTTCTTTGAAATAGATTGTATCCCTCCATTATTACATTCCAATTGTGGGATTTATCCCACCAGGTTTCAGTGATTCCTATTATGTCATATTTAGTTTGCTGTACCAGGAGCTCAAGCTCATCTTGTTTATTTCCCATGCTTTGCGCATTAGTGTACAGACATTGAAGTCCATTAATCATTCCCCCGTGTCTCTTATTTAAGGATTTTCTCCTCCCACCACTAGGTCTGCATGCTCTTTGCTCCATTCGGTCTATGACATTTGGATGATCATCTTCATCAATTGATAGACTCCTACCTTCAGGAGCACTGTCTCCCTCCCCCACATTAGTCAGTTTAAAGCCCTCCTGATGAGGTTTCTGAGATTTTTGGCAAAAACATTCCTCCCAACCGTTGTGAGGTGCAGCCCATCGCTTGCCAGAAGTCCATCTTCAAGAAACTGCATTCCGTGATCTAAGAATCCAAACCGTTCCTGTTTGCACCATTTGCGAAGCCAGTTGTTCACTTCCACTATTTTTCCCTCTCTCCCTGGGCCACGTCGTTCAACTGGGAGGACAGATGAGATGACAATTTGTGCATTTAATTGCTTCAATTTCCTGCCCAGAGCCTCGTAATCTCTTTTGATCTTCTGGAGGCTATTGCTTGCAGTGTCACTGGTTCCCACATGAACCAAGAGGAAGGGGTATTTGTCAGCAGTTGATTTTTCCATGGCATCAGAAATTTTATGGTCAATAAATCGGTTTTGCTTTTTCCTAGAGAATAGACAGTATTAACTGTGTGCTATACTGTCAGTACATGAAAGATTTGTTCTAATCTATTAAGGCTCCCTGCATTCCATCGCCTGGATCATCTTAGCTGCTCTGCTTCTTTTTTTCTGTGCCTTTGCATATGAAGGCCAGGTTCAAATGTTACTAGAAAGCTCAAAGCTCTTCCTCATGGTGCCTCAGACATCTAAAAGCTGTTTACACCACACATTTCCCCAAATATGTGTAGTGTCCTGTTTCACCATCATCATCTGGCAGTGTAGGGCACTTTATACCCATCCCATCCCTTGGCTTCCACATGTTAATGTTTGTAGATGAGCATCAATAAAGGGAAGAATGTGCTCTAGTCTAATGAGGGAGTAGGTAATGCTTGAACTGGCTTTGCTGCAAACTGTTTATCCCTCTGTCCAAGGGAGGAGCACTTTCTGAATCTTCAAAGATCACTCATTTTCCTGACAGTAGTCTAGAGGCCAGAAGTAAGGTAAAGGTAAAGGGACCCCTGACCATTAGGGCCAGTCGTGACCGACTCTGTGGTTGCGGCGCTCATCTCGCTTTATTGGCCAAGGGAGCCGGCATTTGTCCGCAGACAGTTTTTCCAGGTCACGTGGCCAGCATGACTAAGCCACTTCTGGCGAACCAGAGCAGTGCACGGAAACGCCGTTTACCTTCCTGCCGGAGCGGGACCTATTTATCTACTTGCACTTTGACGTGCTTTCAAACTGCTCGGTTGGCAGGAGCAGGGACAGGAGCTCACCCCGTCGTGTGGATTCGAACCGCCGACCTTCTGATCGGCAAGTCCTAGGCCCTGTGGTTTAACCCACAGCGCCACCCGCGTCTCATAGAGGCCAGAAGTATGTTGTGCCAAATAAACAGACTGTCAGTGAAGGTGGACTATAAATGCAGAAATGTGAAAAATGGCATCAAGCGAAGGGTTAGATGAAATTGGTTTGGGTGGTGGATTTACCAGTTGGCCATCTTACCTCTATCCATAGAAGTGTGCTTTCCCTTCAGTTGCCTGTCACTGGAGTGCCTTGGTATAAATACCATTCCTACCTAAGGGGGAACTGTTGTTCAAATGGTCTCAAACAACAATAGACAGGAAGCTGCTATGTACAATTTAAACCACTACCAGCAGCTTCCTTTTACAGTTCTGCTAGGCTGCCTGTTCTAAATGTCATTTTTACGCTTATTTTGATTACACGAAATTGTTTTTATTTTGTTTCAGCCATGGAAGAATTAATAGTTGAACTACAGCTGTTTCTTCAGCTTCTGGACCATGAATACTTAACATCCACAGTCAGGGAGAAGAAGGCAGCTTTGAGTAACATTCTTCTGAGGATACAATCATCAAAAGGTTAATGCCAGGTTTATGTTATTAGCATATGGTGTGGGGTGAGGTAAGACTGTGTTTAACCCAGAGCACTAGGAAAACAAAACCTCACCCAGTTCCCCCCTCCTCATCTTGTTGCAGTCTGGCTTACAGGTTCTGCACCCGAGTAGAACAGCATTTCCAAGTGGCCATTCTTGCAGGGGTGAACCTTCTGGTGGTTCCCTCACTGCGAGAAGTGAAGTTACAGGGAACCAGGCAGAGGGCCTTCTCGGTAGTGGCACCTGCCCTGTGGAATGCCCTCCCATCAGATGTCAAAGCGATAAATAACTATCTGACATTCAGAAGACATCTTAAGGCAGCCCTGTTCAGGGAAGTTTTTAATGTTTGATGCTGTATTGTGTTTTTAATATCCGGATGGAAGCCGCCCAGAGTGGCTGGGAATAATAAATATATTATTATTATTATTATTATTATTATTATTATTATTATTATTATTTATTTATTAGTGCTGAGTGCAGGGAGTGTGGTCAAATTGGGCACAAACAGTGCATGCCTCTAACAGGGAACAGGGGTGTTTCATGGAGTTGGGGGGAGGAAGGAGGAGGGTTAACTCTTCTCTGCACAGCAGTTAGGCTTGAAAGCAGCTTCTCATTCAGCCCAATGAAAGGCTGTTTTCAAGTCTCATTTCCCTGCGTGTGAGGGACTTCTTTTTTAAGGGGTGGTGGTGTCACAGGGCATGGAGCGTGGAGGGTTGACCACTTACTTTCTGACCCTTCTAAAACTGCCACCCCATGGCATTTTGTCTTGAAAACAGCCATTGGTTTCAGTTAAAGGCTGTTTTCAAGGGAGGAGGGGGTCTTTGCACTGGATAGACCACAACTCTCACTAGTGCCCCATTCCCAGAGGAAAGATTTGCATCATTCTCTTCATGCCTCAAGTGGGGGCAAGAGTGCCTTCCCATTCTTTTCTTTGCAGCTTCAAGGATGTTCCCTCATGATAAACTTTAGTGGCTTCTTAAAGTAAGGATTCTTAACTCCCCTCTTGTTTTTATTTTCATTTAGCAAGTCACTGCCCTTGTAATGTGTTATTCCTTCTCTCCCACCCCATGTCCTATGTGTAAGCTTTGAGTTGATGCCATGGTAAGCGTCACCAACTCCATTAATTAATATCAATTTTACATAGTCTTTTCCCCATCCTCACATTAGATTTCGAAATAAAAGAAAATGCACAGAAACAAGAGGTCACCAGTAACTTACCTGCTCCTCCTCAGATGCCTCTGCCAGAGATTCCTCAGCAATGGCTGGTGAGTATATTCTAAGTGTTTGCTAATGAAGAGATCTTTCTCAATTTTTTTTTAAATAGTACAGCTTTGGAATTCGTTTACCTATTTGTTTATTTGAATGTATAACCTGTTCCCTCATATCTATTTAAAGTGTGAAAGCAGCATATCCAGTAGGATGATTTGCCATACCTTCCTTGCCATACCTTCTACTTGTAGAGCAATTTGACTTTCACTTTGAGCTAATACTTAACAGATTATCCACCAGGTCTTCCTGTTCATACTTAAATATCATTGAAACAAATTTGCTTATTGACTATTCCCAGTGTTTCATTTTCAATGAAGACACTACACCAAATTTTCACCCAATTTTAATTGATTTCCATATTTGATGCCTGCCAATTAATATTTTGCGATATTGGATAGCTGACATGTTAATCAGTCTCAGTTGTTTTCATACTTCTATCTTCAGGGAATAATTGCTCTACTGACATATGCCAAGGAATTTATCTGTGTTCTCCACAGAATCCCTGAACATTGTACAAGATGCTGCAGTGTGTTCTTGGGTCTTGTACTCACTTGGGTCTTGTAACACCAGACATTCCTGTGGTTCACATTGCAGACCAAGGGCACAAGCTGTCTTTAACCTACTCCTCCAAAGAACTCAGGGTGCCCTGGGACATAGTGTGAAAATCCCTGTTCCAATGTAAATGACTATATTTTATGGCTTGAATGCAATAGAAGTTAATATTAGACAGTATTTGACAGCTAGTGTATAATTGTATTTAACATAAGTATTTGATAGACTATATTTGTTAATATTTAGTTGTTATTTGATAACGTAAGTTGATAATTAGTATTTTGACTGTTGATAATTTATTTATTTAGGAGAATTAAAAACAAATACAAAAATACAACTAATTTCCCATTTTGACACAATGAACAACTAAATAGTGCATCTTCTTAGCACATTATGCATAAAAATCAGCTTCACAAATGGAAAAAAAAATCTCCATTGTAAAACATAGCAAACTGCCAAACGAAAAATCCTTTAAGGACTAGAAAATAGAATATTACAGATGAAAAGTGTAATTTCCACATTTTAAACAACAGGATCAACAATTGGGCAAAAGAAAAATCAAGTCCACATATGCAAAAGCTATCACAATCCAATTGCATTCCCAGCCCCCTATACAACAAAAACATAATTACTGCTAAAAATACATCACATTCTGTTCCACCCAAGCACATTCTATACATGAACAACACATTCACACTAATGAAACTCAAAAACACCCTAAACTAATATGCTCATAATTACTATTCTAGGACACTGTCAGATCACACTCTTGACACTATTCCCACAGTTCAGCTTCCCATCCTCAAACAACAACATACTCGCATGCCTACTCTGTGAGACCCAGACAAACCTGGACAAATACTGACATACAAGCAATAATCCATAAACATCCCATGAACAAAGCCTTCATACCAAGCACTTGCCCTCTCCATCTCTCACTCTGCAGGGGCAGGTGGTTCTGGAGGTTATAGAAACTACTTCCTCCAACTTTATCACAAACCATGCAGTGACGCTTCACCATCTTCCTCACACTACACCAAGAAAAATAATTCTGTAAACATGATGCCTCATATAAATACCCCTCCCTTCCTCCCATCACCTCTCACCTACAGGACCAAAGCTATCCTAATATCAGGCTGTCTGCATTCTCCACCTTAAAGAAAAAACACATTCTAGCCCACTAATAATGTTTATATGCTGCCAGAGAAATATCTGTTCAATCCTATAACTAATAGTGAAATTCTTCCAGGTATGGCTGCTTGGAGTCCTAAAGAGAATTAATCCACACCACATATTGTTGCAGGTCCCACTTGTTTTCTTCCAATTCCCAGCATGAGTAATTTTTACTTGTATTTGTTCATTCTACCACAGCTGCTATAATAGCAACATGATAATGTTTAGGGATCTCCATCCCTCCTTCTCATGACTTTCTCAACTCAGTGATTTTATTATTCCCAATCAGTCTCTCCAACTTGGTTGAAGCTGCATTTTTATGGAAAGCATCTGACTCATCTAGGCACATTTTGCTGTGGACCATCTTTGTAAATGCTGCCACATCTTAGCCCTAGGCCCATGTGATATTTTAACGGTTGGGCAAGTACTTTGATAACTTTATTCTTGAATATTTAACATCTCTGTCTTTCCATTTAGAATTACAAACATTTGTTTTATTGTTTTAAATGACTACCCGTTGCTTGGTTTTGCTTGATTTACGTTGCAACCAGCAAATTTGCTGAATTTATCAGGCCATGCCATCCTTTGGCCCTGAGTGCGTTGTGTGGGACTAAGTCCTTTCTGGTAGGTCCCCAAACCAGGGGGTGAATGATGCCAGCCCTGGAGGTGGCATAGTCTGGGCCCTTTTATTTCCCTCCCATTGCTTTCTATAGAAGGCAACTAGTTAAAGTGGGGGAAAGGAAAAGGGTGGAGGGGCACAAGAGCACTCCTCCACCCTGTTGACAAGACCAGCAGGTCATTCAAGTATATTTGGTTCTCTGTCCTTCTTTAAGATTACAGCCTTGCAGTAGCCAATAAATTCTCCACTGATACAGAGTCCATCATAATCACTCTCTCTACTTTGTTACACATCGTCTTGATGTGGAAGACTTTTGGACGCAGTCCTGTGCTGCTAAGTAATTGGTAGAACACTCAGATCACATTTCCCTACCTTAGAAGAAAAGGCAGCTTAGCTGAGTGGTCTGCTGTAATTATACAAAAGCTGCGTTTGGACGTTTAAATTTCCATTTAGGATTCCTAAAGAAGTTGCAAGATCTGAACATAATATAAAAACAACAACCACAACACCTTGGTGTTTTCTTTTGGTCATTCAATGTGCTTAACTTTTGTGGAGCTGCCCTTGGGTCTGATTCAGAAGCTCCAGATGGTGCAGGATGCCGCGGCCAGATTGATGATGGGAGATTCTGGTTGAGAACATGTGACTGTGTTGTTAAAACAGCTGCATTAGCTGTCCCATCTGCTAATGAGCCACGTTTAAGGTTCTTGCATTGATTTACAAAGCCCTGAACAACTTGGGGCCAGGATACCTCAGGGACCGCCTGGACCCTTATATTCCAGCTCAGCCGCTGAGATCATCTGCAAGAGAGTTTTTGGTCATTCCCAGAGCTGGTGAGGCTTGTTTGACAACAATGAGAAATTGAGCTTTAAGTGTCATCGGCCTAGTCCTGAGAAACCCCCTACCAACAGAGAGTCAGGGGGTGGCTTCTGTGCCAACTCCTAAATGCCTGCTGAAAAGTTTTCTGTTGTGCCAGGCCTTTGTAGGCAATTGGGAGTACACCCCCCACAATGGTCTATTGATGCTTGGTTTTTGGTTTTTTGCTTTTAATTTGTTTTTAACTTTTTATTCTTTTATTGCCTGCTTTTATGTTTTTATATTGTTGTAAACCGCTGCAATAATAGTTTTTTGATACAGTGGTATATTAATATAATATAATATATAATATAAAATAAAATAAATAATAACAAAAATAAACTTTCCTCCCCCATTTAGCCACCAGATAATGGTCCACCACCATTACCTTCCTCGTCCCTTCCTGAAGGTTACTATGAGGAAGCAGTACCACTCAGTCCAGGAAAGGCTCCAGAATACATCACAGCCAGTAAGTAAAATATACACAACTGAGTAAAGTCAACTGCAAACAGGGAAAAAATGCAGACAATATATATTATATCTGCACAAAACTGATAAACCTGTTTTAGCTAAACTAGATTCCATTTCATTTGTTGGTAGGATTGAGAAGGTAAATGTTGAGACACTTGATCAGTATTCTAGGTTACCTACCAAGAATTATTTTTGCTCACTGTATGCTACTCAAGCATTCAAGACTGTCTTGCACTTTTCAAATAATGATCCGCTTGACCTTTTTACCAAGCAATTCTAACTATAGGAAGCCAGCAGAATCTACTCTGGGTAATTTAAACTGGCATAAATGAAGCTGGCATAAGTTACCCTTATTTCCAAACTCCATTGAGGAACAAGGCTACTGCCAGCTGAGCTGGCCTGAGTCTGACAGAGAGAAAACAAGCCTTTATAGTAGAGTTTGACTTTCACCACCTTTTTTGACGGTGTAGCTTCCATAGGATTATAGAGTTGGAAGGGATCCTGAGGGTCCACTTACCAGGATCTTAGGTCACATGACCAAGCTGAAGGGGGTTTGGAATAGGTGCAAGTCACCCATGTGTTATCCCACCCAGCCACACTCCTTTTTACACTGGCCTCAGTTCAGCCAGCTTTGGCTGAGCTGGGATAGGAGACTTCCCCTGCTGTGCCTCTGGCTAAGCCAGGATAAGGGCTCTGCGAGAAAACTTACTTATCATCCTGGTGGATCTTGGGTTTGAATTGTGCTGTCACTATATCTGTGGATTCAGCGTTAGAAACAGAATGTCTTTGAGCACCAATTTCTGGGGATTCTGAGCAAGAGAGGGCTTCCCGTAGATATCTGGTTGGCTCACTTAAGAATGTCGAATTGAAGTCATTGTGGGACTGCACAAACTGATTAAACATTTGCCCTTTCATGGGCATATAAAACTTATTTTATGTATAAGGAGGCAGGCCTGGGATTTGGGTGTCTTTCAGATCAGCATTTTCCTTCTCACATTATGAGGAGGTGTAGTTAATGAGAGAGGGCTGGACAACAAGACCCTTAAACATTTGAACCAACTTCCCAAAGAAATAGGTTTAGGATTCTGCATTTCTTCCTTTGTTTCATAGTTATTGTGGCTTTGGTTATTATTTGTAAGCTAACTTTGATAGTGAAAATGTAAATGTGAGACTTCTATAAAAAGTTACTCAGTAGAGTTACGTCTATTGATCTTTTAATCTACTGATATTACTTAAGAAAATGTTTTGATAGACATGAAATCATTCTGAGCAGACCGTTTTGTTCCAAATGTTGCTTTGTTGGAATGTGCTGTTTGGTTAAGTTTATTTTAATAGAACTCCCCACCCCACCACTTTTTCCCTAAGATTACGATTCTGATGCTATGAGCAGCTCTTACGAGTCTTATGATGAAGAGGATGAGGATGGGAAAGGGAAGAAAATGAGACACCAGTGGCCTTCTGAAGAAGCATCGATGGACCTTGTTAAGGATGCTAAAATCTGTGCCTTCCTTTTAAGAAAGAAGCGATTTGGGCAGTGGACTAAATTGCTTTGTGTGATCAAAGAAAACAAACTACTGGTGACTAAAATTTATGGTTTTTGTGATATAGTTATAGTGTATTGAAGCCTGGGAAAACTATCCATGAGGCTGTGAGCCACCTGCCCGAGTGTGCTGGCTGACTTGCTGCTGCCATTAGCCTGGTGAAAACATAACCAGCAGGACAACCCACTTATCACAAAATCTCACAGCAGCAAAATTTATTGCCATAGGTAAAAGCTTTGTGGATCAGAGTACTAGAATTCAGCTGGGGCTTCTATTTCATTACTAGTTTTTCTGACAACAAATTTTATTGCTATTTTAGGAACCATGACATGGTCTCAATATAGTTGTGTTAATGTTGATGCTGTTTATCTTTGATTAGTGGAAATATGAAGCAAATTTTTTTAGCTTTAGATTGGAACTGCTTTTTGCACACAATGAAGCTTTGTCCTAATATCATTCTTAATTGTGTGTTTAGTGCTATAAGAGTTCCAAGGACCAACAGCCTCAGATGGAACTTTTGTTGAGTGGCTGCAGTATTACATACATTCCCAAAGATAGTAAAAAGAAGAAGCATGAGCTGAAAATCACACACCAGGGGCAAGATGCTTTAGTGCTTGCTGTACAGAGCAAGGAGCAGGCAGATCAATGGCTGAAGGTACGTACTGCAATTTTAACCAGTCCCATTTCCTATAGTGATCTTGGTGCTATAAAAGTGTGTTTAAGAATGTGAGTAAACTTGAAGATCTGTTGGAAGTGTGAAGTGTTGGCACTATTCCATTACTCGTGGCGTTGGGGCATGCAGCAGCGTTGGCCCATGGTGTGGTGCAGGTGGGTCTACATTGCTCTCCCAGCTCCCAACGCCATGTTTTGACTGCTGCTTACTGAGAGGGTGAGGTGCAGGCAGCGCAGCATGGTTCCTCACACTGTGGCAGGAGAGTCAAACTGGCTCTGCCGCTGCGCATCACACTGAGCATCACGCTGAGCTGTTCATGCCATGCCCCTTGGTAAGTAGCAGCAACACATGGTGTTGGGGAGTTGGGAGAGCAATGTAGCTCCACCCCTTGCATCCTGCCAGCTGCTACTGGTGGAATGATAATTCAGCCCACTAGTATCCTTAACCCATACATAAACATTGTATGAGATGGCTTAGTGTGGCGGTGTTGTTGTTGTTGCTGTTGTCCTCCACTGAGGATTCAATCAACTGGTGATGTGACCTAGTACTCATTCATCTTTTAATCTGCTCCTGCCTTCTCAAATTTTCACTCCCAGCTTCTACTTTTTGTTGTTTTACTTTTTCTGTTCATATGTTTGGTTATTTAAAAAAGTGTAATTATTCAGGTTTCACCAACAATCCGAAGTAGTTGAAATGTAAATAGCCCTACTTTTAGCTAAAGTTAGTCCTGATTCAGTTCACTTAAAAGTCACCAGATTTCACTTCTCTTGTTCCATTGCGACTTTGTTCCAAACAATTGCAGCTTGGCTGATGACTGCACATTGTAGAATGTTAGGGCTATCTTTTTGCATGCGAAAAGTATTATTTCTCTAAAAAGCTAAGGCAAAAAGTGTTACATTTGTATTTATGATTCTGTAGTAGCCACTTAAAATTTTCCTGCCTTAGGGGGGCTCTGAAGCGTCCATATTTTGAAATCCAACTGCATGCTGACAAAGCACAATAGAAAGGCAGGTGATTCATTTTGGCAGAAAGTTGTCCTTGACCTCAGAAACGGAATGAGCTCAATGCTGCTACTCTTATCAAGGCACTTTTGCCGCATAGTAAGCAGTTGCCTGTAATTGCTAAAGTTCAGTTTTTCATATACTTCCACCTCCTTTGCAGTGTTGAAGCCTAAATTAGTTTCAGAAGGACTCTCAGGCAAGGTAACTTTTCTCCAGTGGCTCTTGAAATTTATTAAAGTAGTTTATGAAGAATTCTTTCCCATTTGCTTTTACATGCTGTTTCGTTTGCAAATTGGCATTCTGATTCATGCCCGTTTGCACAAGGAAGCAGCTACCTTGTAAGGACTGAAGGGCTATTTTCACACTGCCTGTTCTGCTTCAGAGACAAGATACACTGGCTAGAGTGGAAGCCGGTCTCACATGCAGCCTTCTCTCATTCTAACTCCACTCCTTTCTTGCAAATGAGCTATTTTGCAATACAGGAACCTTCCCTGAATTGGACATCTTCATTAAATGCTTTATAAAATGTTGTGGTTAGTCAACAGTGTGCCGCTTGGTGGCAAATGGCAGTGTGAATACAGTCACATCTTTCCCCTGCTTGCCCTATCGTAGAGTGTACTGTATATCTCCATTAAAGTTTTGTGTTTGAAGCAGCAGGTTCCCACTAACTCTCCACACAGCTGGCTGGTGCAGCCCCTTGTTCTTTGCCTCAGGTCTGTCATGTCTTGTGCCGTCTTGTCCTGTCTGGAATCCTCCTTTGATGGGATCTCCTCCTATGTGTCCATGCTCCTTTCCAAGTTGGGAGTCCTCTTTTGAATAAGTGTGTTTTGGAGCTGTCCTGGTAGCGGTAAGCTTCAGAGACCATTTGATCTATCCTGGAGCCTTCCTACTATGTCTGCCCTCTGTTCTGCCTTGTAGCCTGAGCTCAGCTCCTGCTCCCGAATTCCTGCCCTGCCTGCATGACGGCACCTTTTCGGTTCTAACTGTAAATGCTTCTTCTGAGTTCCCTTTGTGTGAGCCTAGGTCCTGTGCCTACTTGTTTGTGCTGGATTCTTGCATAACGCCTTTCCCAGATCCGTAAAAAACCTTCCCCTTGCATGTTACTTGAACTCTGATTTTCATCAGGTTATAAAGTCTACTTCCTTGGTCTAAACCAGAAAAGGGTTGGAGGAAAGTCTCTTTCACAACATTGATTTGTAGTATTTGTCCCTTGCCTCAAAAACGGAATTGTTTTTGAAATTCTCAAAAACGGAATTGTTAGTTAAAATTTCTGATACAGGATCCCCTCCCTCTTTTGTCTCTCTGTGCCCAATTTTCTGATAAGAACTTAGCCTAAGTGCTGATGTTGGTCTCTGAGCTCTATTTGGGTTTCTGAACTATGTTGTCTGACTTCCTCTGGTTGCTTAAACTATTGGTAACAGGTTCTTGACACAGAGTGTGCCTCAATATGGAAAGCTACTACTGTACCATAAACATCAGTATTCCTACCTACCTTCCTACTTTTTTCAGGAAGGTTCAGATGGATCAGGCAGGTTTGTTTGCTTTCCCTACTCTATGCCCTGCTTATTTGTGGGGAATTTAAGATAATATTCTTTTTAAAAATATATTATTTCATTTCCTTTGCCTTTCTCCTTTAATCTCTGAGGTAGGTCTTCCTAAGTATAAGTAGGTGAGGCACATGGTGTTGTTTCATTCCAATACTTGAGGATGGATTATGTAGCCAAGAATCCCAAAAACGGTTGCAGATTTCTAATACAGTGGTACCTCGCAAGATGAATGCCTCGCAAGACAAAAAACTCGCAAGACGAAAGGGTTTTTTGTTTTTTGAGCTGCTTCGCAAGACGATTTTCCCTATGGGCTTGCTTCGCAAGACGAAAACGTCTTGCAAGTTTGTTTTCTTTTTCTTAACACCGTTAATACAGTTGCGACTTGACTTCGAGGAGCAACTCATAGAACGCGGTGTGGTAGCCTTTTTTGAGGTTTTTAAAGCTTTTTGAGGTTTTTGAAGCTTTTCCAAAGCTTTCCCGACACTGTGCTTCGCAAGACGAAAAAAATCGCAAGACGACAAAACTCGCGGAACGAATTAATTTCGTCTTGCGAGGCACCACTTTAGTTGTCTTGTCAAAGCACTTTTAAGTGACTTCATTCTAAGTGTTTTTGTACATTGTTCAGTAGTAATAAGGGAAATGTTTAATCCTATGTAACATGAAATAAAATAAATCCTGTTCTTCAGATTTTACTTTTGGATAAAATTGGTCAAGTCTTGTTATTTAACATACCCACTGCATAATATACACCAAAATTCTTCTTTAGTCATCTGCCGCATATTGTGAAATAATCAACCATATATCTATTCTGATAAAATTCCTGGGGAAAACTTTGCACCTTTTACTTTTCAGTAGCTGTTCTGAATTTTTTTGTGTGTAGCTGGGGGAATAATTTATCATCATGGTTTTCCAATGGTTTCATCAGTGAAAGCATTTCAGCTTGCCCAGCAGAATGATCTCCCCTCTCCCCCTGCACAGGCTGTTCAGGGAGGGTCTCCGGACCCCTCAGAGGTCATTGGGGGGAGAGGAATATGCATGGGGGAGGAGAGGAATGTCTCATTCTGCTAGCATTCTGCATCTGCTTAGTTGAATCTGGTCCAAAGTGCTTTAAAATATTTGTTTAGACATAATCATAATCCCATGTGTGTTCATAAGTAAACAGATTATATTGATTTCAAAAATAGCAAGCAGAAGTCATTTTGGTTATAGTGTAAAATCTCAACATTTTATTTACCGTATTTTTCGCTCCATAAGGCGCACCTAGTTTTTTTTTTGGGGGGGGGAATCAAGAAAAAAAATCTTATTTCCCCCCCAGCCCCAAAGAGCAGTGGACAGGCTGCACTTCTTCCAGAGCTTCTGGGGCTGTCAGGGGAAGCCCGGGTCCCCCCCCCAGCCCCAAAGAGCAAAGAAGCCAAGACAGCGAGTGGGATGCTGCAGGATCTCTTCTGCTGTTTTATAATTTTCAGTTTATTGATGATTTCATTGTTTTTAATTTGTTGATTTGTGCTTGAAGAGCATGGTTAAATCAAATAAAATTGCCACTGCAGTGGGATTGAGGGTGTGCAGGTCTCTACCCACAACCCACCAAAGCTTCCTTTGTAGCGATCTCTTTGGATGGAAACAGCTGTCTTGATGACTGTGAGGGCTCTGGATCCCTTCCTGCTGTAGTGGTGAAATAAGGCTTTTGAGAAAATGCATGACTGCACAGATACAGCTCCATGATCACTGCCAAGTTATTTCTTGTGTCCTCTCTTTGACTTCCATTATTGTGTGTGGCCAAAACTAATTGACTCTGTGGGATGAGCAGATGCTGAAAATATGAACAATTTTGTCAGGGTCATGAAAGAGGCAGCAGCAGAAGTGCAGCTTTTTTGTGTAAATACAGTACATTTGCAGTAAAGGGAAGTACATCTATTTGAATTTTTTTTGAATACTTTTTTGAATACTTCCAAATCTGTTTTAGAATTCACATTTTTGGATAAAAATGCTTAGCACTTTGTCCAACAAATCAGCCTTGTTACTCCAACTTTCCTACCAATTTTTTAAAAAGAGGACGCTTTGAAAAGAATTATTAACTAGTCTTGTGGGGGTGCCTGTGATACAGAAGAAAAAGTTGTTAAGTATAGTGGTGTTGCTGAAAAATCCCTCGAGATATATTCCAGAGTGGGAGAACAGAAAATCCGTATCCCATCTGGCTATAATGCCAAAATAAGTAGGAAGATATGGCTGGCACTAGAGGAAAAAAAGAACTCATTCTATTGTGATGTTGAGAAGGAGGTTTCATGCAAGGACATGTCTCCATTCCAGCCTCGGCTTCTGTTGCTGTCAGGAATGACTGGTGAAAACAGAAGTGGGAGCGAAAATTTCCCATGTATGCTTGTTCGTCTCACACCCAGAACTGAAATCAATCAAGTGAATACTATCTGTATTTACTGTTGCTGCTGCTGTTTTCATTCCACAAATGATATGTGATGGACCCCCACCCCCCCACATTGTGTTTCTTTGCATTGAAGTAAATGGCGTGGAACATGGGTAGGCAAACTAAGGCCTGGGGCCTGGATCCGGCCCAATTCTTCTAAATCCAGCCCGCAGATCAGCATTTTTTTACATGAGTAGAATGCGTCCTTTTATTTAAAATGCACCTCTGGGTTATTTGTGGGGCCTGCCTGGTGTTTTTGCATAAGTATAATGTGTGCTTTTATTTTAAATGCATCTCTGGGTTATTTGTGGGGCATAGGAATTTGTTCATTTTTTCTCTCCAAAATATAGTCCGGCCCCCACAAGGTCTGAGGGACAGTGGACCGGCCCCTGCTGAAAAAAGTTGCTGACCCCTGGCGTGGAATAATGCAATGACAACATAACTTGCATAATTTACACTTGCTATAAAATTGTTTTGATATGGTACATGATGCTTGAAAAAATAATAGCATCAATGGAAATTTAGAAAATTATGAAGGGTCAGACAACTGTTGTAAGCTATTTCTATAAATGGTGGTTGTGCAACAAGGCTAAAAAGCGAGATAGGTTGAGCAATCCTAAGCCCTGGTCCTGAGCAGCAAGGCTGAGTTAAAGGTTGACCCCATACCTGAAGTCTTGTTGGCTTGTTCCAGCCAGGGCAAAAGTGGCATTTGTGTGTGTATTTCAACATTTTTTCATGCACCTCTCAGGGGAATGGACTATATTGGGATCCATGGCTGTCCCTACTGCTGCATTGCTGTTTCGAGGCTCCTACATTGGATAACTTGTTATTTAATGTGTCTGACACAGTATTATTTGCCTCAGGGCTCAGTCCTGTTATGTTGGTTTGCAGGGCCCTTTTATGCAAGCCTTTTTCTGTCTCAGATTTGGGTTTAGCTATTATGAAAGTTGAAACCTTCCACCTCTTTACCTTGTGGCTCCTCCAAGACATGCATAAAGAAGCTGACTAAACATAATGAGAAGTATAAAAAGATGTCATCCTTGAGAAGTATCAGAATTCATATTTTTATGACATTTATGATATTTTCAAGATAGCAGCTAACTACAATCACAATCTCTTACATGTTCTCTCCCCTCCATTACAATATCTTCAGTTTCAAGAAAAAATGGCTCTTTTCTTTTTGCATTTCTTTGAAGGTAATTAAGGAAGTTTGCAGCAACTATATTGGAGCTACAGATTCAGATGGACCTTCATCTAATTCTCCTGTGCACAAGACTGAACTGGAAAAGGTAATTGTACAATAAGACTACTGGAAAATGCAGTGTATGAGTGTTGCACCATGAAATATGGGTAGTTAACCTTTTCTAAGAATAATGGTTTGGTTGAGAGTCTCTTCATATATGTCACTATCTCAAATAAGGATTTCTACATTTTTAAGTAATACATTTTTGCTAGCTGTGTGCTAATCATTTCAGGCACACAGACTTGCAAAACAAGCCCCCTTCCCCGTGTCTGTTTTGAAAAAATTGGAAGATTGCTGTCCTTTTAGTTTTCTTGTTAATTACCTTCCATTTTTGGTTTCCTGATCTGCCTGATCTTTAAAGTCAAACATGGTAGACAAATGATACCCTCCAGTTTCAGGGCATGAAGCCCAGGGAACCATTGGAGACATGGATTTCCATGGATAAGACGAGGTTTTCTCCTTTAAAAATCATGCTAAAAAGTGGGCATCGTCTTATACATGGGTAGTGCATAGGGGGGACGTTTGATTGGTTGCTGTCAGCGGCTATTGTGCATGTTATTGGTTGCTGCGTCAGTGGGTAGTGTTGATTGTCCGACGCTGCAGCAATTGGGCAGGCAGTTGGCAGCTTCTGCCGGCGAGGGGACAGACGGGAGGCAGATTTTGAGAGGTGTGTGCAGGTGAGCGGTTTTTGGCATCCCCCCCTTAAAAAGCTCAACAACCCTCGGTAATCCCCCCCCAAAAAAGCTCAACAGCTCTGGGCAATCCTCCGCAAAAAAAGCTTTGCCATCTCCCCCATTTTCTGAAATTTCAGTCCCCCAAAATAGGGGGCATCTTATACATGGGGGTGTCTTATAGATGAAAAAGCACGGTAATTTTCCTCTGGGCTGCTTTGCTTAGTCCTCTGGGTGTTCTGCCCTGATGTGCTGTGCTGCCCAGTGCATTAGGGTGATGGAGGAGAGAAAGGAAAACTTAGTTTCCATTCACTGCACACCCCTGCCGCCGCCACTGTTCCTGCTGCTGCTGCTGCTCCTGCCTGCAAGTTAACAGAACAGAGGAGGAGGAGAAGTGTGCTTTGGGTGCTGGGGCATCAGCCTGTGTGGAGGAAAACGAATTACAAAAAAGTTTATTTTTCTTTTACTGCAAAAAGGAAATGGGAAAAAGGCTTTCCCTCAAAACAACTGCAACACACTCATACAGGAATAAGAGCAATCTTCTTCTGCAACTGCTGTGAATGTTGTTTTTGGCCCAGTGTTTGCCAAAGAGAGCTCTGACTGTTTGTGAGCACAGAAGTTATAAGGACAGGCAGGATTCCAGCACCATTATTCAGATATTTTCAGGAACATCAGCACAATGAAGGAATGCTTAAATTTTGGTGCATAGTGAGATCAAGGACTAAATATATGCATAAAGAAAATGAATATAGAAATCCCTGGGAGGTGGAATGAAGAGAAAGAGGGTAAAAGGTGTACTGTGAAAAGATTTAACAGCTCTTTTCAGATGTACATGTGGATAGGCTAATTTTCTTCCTGTTATCTTTTCATAGCACCACAAATATAAAAAGCATTGTGCAATAAGGCTGCTATCAGTTGGGACCTCTGCATGATTGGGAGTTCTGAGTTGATGGAAGTCTACCCAGAAGCAGCAGCAGCAGCGGCAGCTGTTCATGGCTAGGCTCCTTTCCTGCAGGCATCCTCTCCGACACATGTCTGTCCAGGGGCAGGCCAGTCACAAGTAATGGGTCACAGTTGTGGCTGGGGGGGAATTTAGAGGTGAAGCCAAACGTTGCTGAAAAAGTGGTTTTAAGGAGGCATTTAATCGCAATGCAAGTGATCTGGTGTCAGATAAAGGCTAGAATGAACTCCCTCTTCTGTTAGGAGAATAGCAAGAATCATTCTTAGGAGAATGATCCAAGGGCGGTCAAGTAAAGGCCATGGGCAGAAATGTCATGGGAAACAAGGGCAGAGGTATAGTCTCTATTAGGAAATGCAATACTTTACATTTTGTGACTGAGCTCCACATGACTCCCGCGGGTCATTTATAAATAACTACAGAAGGAAAGTAAATCTGGACTCTGGTTTATATAGAGAGAGTCAAAGCACTTTGATCATTTTTTACAAAAGTATTGTACAGATAATTCCACAGTGGAGGAATAATGTAATATGAATGGGTTTGACAAGTATTATGCATTTAATGCTTCTGTGAAGAGGTTAATTTTTGAAAATAAATTACTGACTGTCTCAAATTTGTCCCATGGCCAGATAAATAGTTGGCACATTCTGATTCATAATGCATCAGTTCTACTGTGACCCCATTACTGATGACCTAGTTCTTTTGTCCTGCAGAAACTATCTTCAGAAAGACCAAGTTCTGATGGTGAGGGGATTGTAGAAAATGGAATAGCTGCCATCTGTAATGGAAAAGAGCAAGGTAATATGCTACTGACAGTGTTTGAGTCACACCATAAAATGTTCACAGTATTTTAAGTGCTGGAAAGGTGAAAAGAAAAATGGAATTTTCATAGACATTCACTCTGAGGAAAGGTTCATTCTGCCAGCTTGATTCATAACGATGTCCAGTTGTATTGCAACGTAGCTGAAAACCTGTTCCTTAAGCTCAGGAACCACCACACAAAATTTGGTTACAATATCTTAAGAGGTCTCCAAATGCATAGACAACAACTTTCCAAAGTATATAGTAGATGCCGGGCTGCTGTTAAAGATGCAGGTGTGAAATTTTGAAATCTTGCAAGACTGACACATGCATGCTTTTCTTAATAGTAAAGAGGAAAAAGAGCTCTAAGACAGATTCCAAGGGCACTGTGTCTAAAGTAACAGGGAAGAAGATAACAAAGATAATTGGCCTAGGAAAGAAGAAGCCCTCCACAGATGAACAAACCTCATCAGCTGAAGAAGATATCCCAACTTGTGGTGAGTAACTTCCCATGTTGCTACCTGCAATTAAACTTGAAAGGGCAACAGGTAGAAAAAGCTCCACCAAACTTCAGTATTTAGTGGTGTTTCAATCTCCTAGGTTTACTGTTACGTTCCTCTTTCACCCACTGAATTTGGGCTCTGATGATTTAATAGTAGCTTTAAAGATTATGGCATCTCCACTCTCATCTGTGTCCCAACTTCAAATGTGGTTGAGAGGACTTAAGCAGTGCTTAGGTTCACTTTCCACAAGACCTGGCTTGCTTTGTATGGACCACAGATCATAATTTAAAACAAATTCTGGTCTGTTTTTAAACAATCCAGCTTCAAAGTATGGGTTATGAAGCTTAAACACTGTTCGTTTTAACCAGAATCTTTGATTTGCAGGTACTGACAAGCCAGGTTTTGTGGAAAGTGCAACTAAACTCTGCTGAATTCCTCCTGTTGCTGTATAGGAGTTGTTGAGAGAGAGAGAGGAGAGAGAGAGAGAGAGGAGAGAGAGAGAGAGAGAGAGAGAGAGAGAGCGCCATGTGCTTGTGGCTGTGTCTTCCTGCGCAAGTACATAGTGCTAAAACATGGTTTACTATTACATGCAGCCCCTTTCTATTGCTCTCTAGTACCGTATTTTTCGTCCCATAGGACGCTCCGCCCCATAGGACGCACCTAGTTTTTTGGGGGGGAAATAAAGGGGGAAATTTTTTCCTTTATTGCCCCCCCAAAAGCAGGTCGGGGAAACCGAACCAGGTCGTGGAACAGCGGGATGGCGGTGCTGCGCCTCCCTGCTCTCCCCCGAGCTTGTGGGGCTGGCCGATGTCTGCCCGGCGCGAGGGGCGCCCTGCTTCAGGGTGCCTCACGCGCCGGGCAGCAGGCTGCTATCCGCAGCGTGGGGAGCCCTGCGGGGAACTCCTGCAGGGCTCCCCACACTGCGGATGTCTGTCCGGCGGGCGGGGCGCTCTGCTTCAGGTCGCCCTGCCCGCCGGGCGGCAGGCTGCTATCCGCAGCCTAGACAGCCCTGCGGGACCTCCCGCAGGGCTGCCTAGGCTGTGGATGTGTTCCCAAAGCGCCGGGCGCTCTGCTTTCAGGGCGCCCGACGCTCCGGGAAGCAGGCTGCTATCCACAGACCTCCCGCAGGGCTGCCTAGGCTGCGGATGTCTTCCTGAAGCCTGGAGAGCGAGAGGGGTCGGTGCGCACTGACCCCTCTCGCTCTCCAAGCTTCAGCGAAAGCCTGCATTCGCCCCATAGGACACACCCAGATTTCCCCTTCATTTTTGGAGGGGAAAAAGTGTGTCCTATAGGGCGAAAAATATGGTACTTTTTCCATCTCTGCAGTGTTGAAGAAGTGTGGTGCAGTGGTTAAAGTGTCAGCCTAGGACCTGGGAGACCAGGATGCAAATCTCTGCTTGGCCATGAAGCTCACTGGGCGCCCTTGGGCCAGCCACTTCCTCTCAGCCTCACCTACCTCACAGGGGGGTTGTGGGGATTAAATGAGGAGGGGAAGAACCACACACACCACCTTGAGCTCCTTGGAGAAAAAGGTGGGATATAAACACAACAAACAAACACACAAACCAGAAGTGGGTCCTCATCCACTTTCAAGCAAGAGTAATAGAGGAAAAATGCCCCAGGGTAAAGAGTTTTCTTTAAAGTTTCCACGGCATTCTACAGAGGCAGCTGACCTTGATGCAGTAGCAATCATCAGAGATGCTTGGCTCTGTACCTGGTTCTCTCTTAGGTCTCTGAAAAAAAGACAATATGCTAATGCAGACTTGTGTTGATTTTGATTAAGCGACTCGTGGTGGGGGCAATCCTGCTACCCCACCCTCAGTGTCCCTGAATGTGCTGGCCTGCCTACTCCAGCCCCCACCTTCCAGCCCTGAGTGGGTCTGAAGGAGGCTTCTAAGTGCAGTTGAATCAATGCACTTGGAAGCCTCCTTCCTGTTCTCAGTTTTCTGTTGTGGGGAAGATTTTAAGCACACCTGGAAACCGCCTTCAGACATTTCCATTGAGAGCTCTAGTTTAAAAGAAAGATGGAAGCTGCTGCTTCTACTTCTTGGGGGAGAGAGCACATGTCTTGTGTGTGCGTTGGACAGTCGTGCAGCTGCATCGTAAACACTTCCGCTGTCTCCGCCACCCCAGCTGGAGAATGCCCAAAGAGAGATGTATTTTCTGTGGCTCAATAAAGCTTTAGTTAAAAGCACCCCCTGTTTCTGCTCAGCTGTAGTATTTATTCTTCAGTTTCACATCCTTAATTTTGATGAGCACCAGAGTTGACTTGGTTTTTAAAAAAATATGTTTTTGTCGTCATCCCCAAATAAACACAATTATGATACAGCTGAGATGAACAACAACCCTAATAAGCATTGGTGGGTCAAATCATTTACATATTCATATGACTCTGTCCTGAGGTTTATACACCTTACACAGGCTGACCAGTAATACAGACTTGTGGGTATATATCATTTCAAAGGAGCCCATGGTGTTGTGGTGACACAACCACAGGCACTCCTTTGCCACTGCAGAGAGAGAAGGGCATTTGTACGACCACAAGTTTGCCGTTGATTTTGGGGTCTTTGTGGTGGGTCCAGTTGAATGAACTTTTTTTTTTTAGTGGAAAGTGCCTGTCTTTGTGTTTTGCAGGATATCTTAATGTGCTGTCAAATAACCGGTGGCGTGAGCGCTGGTGCAGAGTGAAAGATAATAAGCTCATTTTCCACAAAGACAGAACAGATCTAAAGACCCATATTGTCTCTATTCCTCTCCGTGGCTGTGAAGTTATTCCAGGATTGGACTCCAAACACCCCTTGACATTCCGCCTGCTTCGAAATGCACAAGAGGTTGCCGTATTAGAGGTTAAGTTGTTTAGTGTGCTTATCTTTTGCCGATAGTGACATAAGCAAAATCCCATTCTCTGACCAAATAATGTATGCCATACCTAGGAAAGTCTCCAATTATATGTTGGAAGCAGGATTTCCTTTGTTCCCCCTCTTGTCCCACACTTTTCACGGTTGGATCAATTTGCAGCTTTTGAAACGTCTTTATTATAGTGCTTCCATTATTTAAAGTGTCTAATAATTGCTTCTATTTTGGGGGAAATTGAGCTCTCTTCCAAATCTTATCTGTAGGGCACATCAGTCTCAAGATTACCCTAATTTGCAAGGCAGTGTACTATACTATTGATCTATAATATCAGGCTAGAAAGTGGCTTAGATGGATTCTCTCTTCAGTTCTTAGTTTCCACTTCTCACTAAGTCCCTGAGGAGAAAATAATCGGAAAACAAAATAATATTTACATTTGAATGTAGTGCTTCTCTTATTAACCTCTCTGTATGATTGTATAATGGCAATACTGCCATTATTGCCTATGCTGTACTATAACATAGAATCATAGACTTGTAGCGTTAAACCCAAGGGTCATCTAGTCCAACCCCCTGCTATGCAGGAATATGCAGGTGGCCTGTGTGGGAATCAAACCTGCGACCTATCAGCACCATGCTCTAACCCAGTGTTCCCCAGCCTTTTTCAGACCACGGCTCCCTTACGACCTTGTTTCCTTCCTGTGCCCCCCCCCAGACATAGTCAAGGGGGGTGGGGGCAGCTGCCCCCCAAAATAAGTAAAAATCAATACAAATAGGAGATTCTCCCACCCTAATGAAAGCCTGCCCCCCCCAGCAAAAATACTGGCTATGCCCATCCCCCCCCATCCTATAGGTAGAAAGGTAGCTATTTAAATGTTTTGTTTGTAAATAGAACATTTTTTATTTTTGCAATTTTTATACAAAATATAATTACATAAAATGATAGGAACATAATGAAATATTGTTGAAGCAGAAAAAAAACATAAAATCATGGAGCTGGAAGAGACCCCAAGGGTTCTTTCTAGTGCAGTGTTTCCCAACCTTTTTTGGGCAAAGGCACACTTGATTGATGAAAAAAATCTCGAGGCACACCACCATTACAGCCCCGTGACGTCAGCGCGCAGCGTCACGCCGGGAGGGACGCACGAAAGTGTAAGTTTCAATTTTTTCCCCTCCCCCTTGCCGGGGAACCTCCAAGCTTTGGGGGTGGGGGGGGGAGGAGGCAGCAAAGCGAGGGACTGAGGGACTCCTCCAACTCCTCCTCCTGCTCGTCCACGGCCGGGTAGAGCCGCTTGAGGCGCCGCTTGAGCTCCTTCTCCTGCTCGTTCAGGGCCGGGTCACCGCCGTGAGCGGAGGCGGCGTGGGGGACCCCGCAGGTCAGGGCGAGTCGGCTCGTCAGCTGCCACGACAGGAGCAGGGCGGGCGGCGAGGGGGTGGCTGGGTGGGGGAGATCCCCCTCGGATCTGCTCCCTCTCAGGCTCGGTCGGCGCTGTCACGAAGCGAGACGAGGCTGGAAGGCGCCGCTCTCCTCCTCCCTCCGCAGCAAGCGTGGCCTGGCGCGAATCAAATCGCCGCTCCTGTCCCGTGCGCTCAGGTGGGCAGCTCCAAAGGGGTGGCTGCCCAAGCGCCTTCTCTCTCTCGCCTCCTCCCACGAGTTCGGGGTCAGCCTCCCGCTCCTCCTCCGCTTCCTCCTGCCAGCCGCCGGGGTCTTTGGTCGCCGCAGCCTCCCGTCCAAGAAGCACCTTCGCCCAGGCAAGGACGCGCGCGGAGCTGGCGAGCGCCGAGGGGTGGGGCTTTCGCGCCCGTCTCCCGAACCAGGAGGGCCGGGTCGCCGCCGTGAGGGAAGGGCGCCGGGGCGCTGCTGCTGCTGCTGCTGCCGCCACCGCTCCCGGCAGGCATGGGCCCAGCTGAGGCGGCGGCGATAGCGGGCGGAGGAGGGGGCGGCGGCGGGGCCGAGGTGGCCGGCGGCGGGGGAGGAGGCGGCGGGTGGAGCAGGAGGGCGGCCGAGGCCGGTGAGGGAGTAGGGTTGCCCGGGGCTTGAGGAGCCGTCGCCGGGAGTTGCTGCTGCTGTTGTTGCTGCTGCTGCCCGGACATGCCGGCCTCCTCCTCGTCCGCTGTCTCGCGCTCCTCCCTTTTGCGTGCGCTGCCCCGCCGCCGCCCCATTGGCCGGGTCCTGTCAGCTGACCCTGTGTTATTTCCTGTGTGTGTGTGTGAGGGGAGAATGGAGAGAGAAACCTCGGCACCACCACCGCGGAGCCGCCCCCGGCTCGACGCGGATCCTCGCCGCCGCCGCCCCGCCTCTCGCCGCCCGACTCGCCCGCCTCCCTCCCACGGCACACCAGGCAAGGTCTCGCGGCACATTAGTGTGCCGCGGAACACCGGTTGGGAAACACTGTTCTAGTGCACCCCCCTGCAATGAAACTCAGCTAAAGCATCCATGACAGGTGGCCATCCCACCTTTGCTTAGAAACCTCCAAGGAAGGAGAGTCCAGAACCTCCCAAGGGAGATCCATCTCCCATGTATTATAAAAAGTAAGCAACACTTATTTGACCCAAGTTAATTGACACCGAGGTGTACAGGGAGTTCTGTGTATGTGGGAGAATTTTTAAAAGCAAGTGATCCTCTCTGACCTGGTGCAAAAAGATATTGTTATCCGGAGGAGCCCTGGCCACCTAGATAAAACTCACACACCCTTACCTGGGAGTAAGGCGCACTGAACTCAGTCCTGCTTTCTTCTGAGTAGACACTTTGGGATGGATTTAACCCCACACCTTGCAGAGCCAGACTGACTCTACTGATGGGCCCTGCACCCCTTGACAACATCCAGTGGCCCTGATCCGCTAGGCACCGTGTGGAGTCAGGCCCATGATGCCACGGGCCCAGCCCTGCCGGCAGCAACAAGCAGCTCAGTCTCGCCCAGCCCTGCCCATTGCCACCCCACCACCGCACTTACCTGACCTGGGGTTCTGGATTGCGGACTCTACTGGGCAAAACGGGAGCCTGAGCAATCACCCTCTTCTGCCAGAAACAAACCAGGACTGCTCCAGGAAAATGCAGCTGGCAGTAAGGAGCCAAGCGGATAATAATTTGGTAATAATTAGCCAATCAGGATTAGAAGAATAAAAATCTTCACTTCTCACTTCCCTCCGTGGCCCCCTAGCCTCATGTTGTGGCCCCCCATTTACATTATTTTCACCTTGCCCCCCATGGAATATCCTGAGCAGCCCCAGGGGACCATATGGCCCCCAATTCAGAAACACAGTTCTAACCAATAGAGCTAGCTAACTGGCGGCTTCCCACCTCTCATGTCACCGGGGGGGTGGGGGGTGGCAGCCATCTGGTGTGAGGGAGGTGGCAACTGGAGAGAGACCTCTCTTTTGGGGTGCCCCACTTAGGACATGCTCTTCTCTACAGAGGTGCCTCTGTTGCCAATTACACTTTCTTTACGCTTTTAATTTTGTGTAATAGTATTAATTGCTGCTTTGATCCCTGCCTACTTGTTGTTTTTGTGCATTCTTCTTCTTGTTTTTAGCTTGATTTTGGTGAGCTGTCCTGAAAATGTTTTTCTGTTCAAGAGCGAGGCATGCGTTCACTAGAATGCACTGTTTATGATAATGAAAAAAAAGTACACTTGAATGAAAAACGATGCCTTTCACGTGACAGGAGTGCATGTTTGCCTGACATTTCCCCATCTTTGTGTAGGCTTCATCTTCAGAAGACATGGGCAGGTGGATTGGTATTTTGCTGGCTGAAAGTGGCTCCTCTGCAGATCCTGGCACTCTGCACTATGACTACATAGATGTGGATGTGACGGCAAGTGTCATTCAAGCCGCAAAACAGACCTTCTGGTAGGAGGAGCTAAACCAGTTAAGAACATTTTCAGGAACTCTAGGTTCTTCATTGTTATGATTCTATGCTCAAAAAGATGTAAGGAGCAATCCTATAGGAAGATCCTCCTGGATGCGTGGGTTAGGGTTTGGTGGATCTCCGGCTGGCCTTAAGGAGTTCCTCGCGGAACTGGGCTGTGTCGGTTTAACTCCCTCATCCTCTGCTCAGCCAGAGATGCACCTCTGTATTTCCTCCATCCCAGATGGCTAAAATAAGCTGATGTAAACCCTTAAAAAGGGGTGTGGGGGGGCAGGAGCAGAGAGGAAGGCTCCTTACCCCCCTCCCCGGTCATGTAACCTGGCAACCAACTGGCAAAAAGAATGGTTAAAGGCTTGTTTTCCCTCTGCTAGGATCAGGCTGCTCAGCCAGCCATAGTCTGGCTTAATTTAGACCAGTGGTACCAGATTTGTCTGTGATAGCTTGACGTTGTGAGGAGAAGCCGAAGGTATCTATTTCTAATCCATCAAACAACTTAAGCTACAGTCCTAAACACATTTGCCAGAAAGTAAATTCAATTGAAGCCAGTGAGATTTACTTCTGAATGAAGTATCAGAGCATTGTGATGTTATTGTTAAACACTCGTGTTTACTCAAAATGCTTCACAAAAAACCTGCTGTGAATTAGGGCTGCAGCCCAATCAAATAAATTCTAATTGATTAATAATGTTGAATAACCAATAAATTTGCATAAGGTTAAAAACAGTATTTCTGAAGCAAGAAGCAAAGGAGGAAGTTTTTTTTCAGATGGTGCTTGCCAACTGCAGTTTTATAAGCACTGTTAATAAATGTATGTGTATTATTTTAAAATATTCTGCATGATACTTTAACATCATTTAAAGTAAATTAAAAGTGTTGAAATAGATTAATCCAATCAATTAATTACATGTTGAAGCCCTACTGTCAACTCAAACCCCCTTTAAATATCAAATGAAGTACTTCTTCCCTGTTGGCTAGCAGACCTATAATTATAGATGATAGCAGCCCCCCCGCCCCCCCCCCGGCAGTTTTCAAGTGTTCTCAGTATTACCATGTGGAGGACCAACCTGCAAAAATAGAGAAAGCTTTGGAAATCTTGAACCACTGCCAGATACTTGAAAGAGAAAATACATGGTTTGGGGAGGAAGGACCCACCCTGCATTTCTCTTAGGACCAAGTTTTTACTCAAGTTACTAATTTAATCAAAGCAACTTGTATATGCAGTATATCCATTCGGCCCCAGACTTGCCCAAAACAGCATTGGGATGCAGCAATCATCATCTGGCTACAGACAGGCCCTAGGGAAGGAGCCACCTTTGTATAATCAAGAGCATGTTTATAATGGTTCTTTCTAGTGAGGTGAAGTCCATCACTTCCCATTATTTGTCGTTTTGGAGCTACAAGTTGTGATGAAAAAAGCTGAAGTCATTTGCTGACACCACATGCAACAACATGCTTTCATTTCCAGAAAATACGTTCTCCTGCCTGAGAAACTTCCTACCACTAGGAAGATTTAAGAGTATCATTTCATTTCTTAAAACTTCAGCCTTGTTCCTAAAATCTTGTAGTCATCTTTGGCCCTTTTCTTCAGAATCCTACTTTCCATTGCTATGGGGAGTACATAGCTATATTTCCTAAAAATCAATTAATGTGTACAGGAACTGCTCTCCCAACGCCACCCACACAGTGCATTGCTAAATGATAGATTCCTGGCTTACACTTCAGCCTGTGATACCATACTGGGTGTGTTTGTAATGAAAAATCCTTCGGTAGGCAGGGAGAACTGCAAGGAAGAATTTGAAGGGTGAATCATGCTTACTCCCTGTGTGTGCTTTCAGCATAAACTCTGTTCTGTTTTTGCTTTTGTTTTAGTTTTATGAACAGACGAGTTCTGTCTACTAATCCTTATCGAGGAAATGCTGCCAATGGCTATGCGTGTCCCAGCGGGATGGCACTTCATTATGACGATGTTCCTTGCATAAATGGATCAGTAAGAATTGATTTTTGTGTAGGTCAAATCATTTACGTGTGTTGAGCCCCCAAAGTCACTTGTCAGAGTTTCACTGGGCATGATCCCAACATACTGCTAGGTCTCAAGTACAGATTCTTTGAAAGTAGGGCATATAGTTTTAATTCTGCATGCCCATGTAAATCAGCATAAATATATACAATTCAATAGTCCTCTATTAGCCAAAGCATTAATGCAACTCCCAGAGAAAAGTTTAAAGTTAAGATTTGATCAGATCTGAACCTCACAAACTAAGAATGAAATGAGAATGATGCTGCTGATGCTGCTGTCTCCTTCATCCCCTTTCTCTTCTCCGGGCTGCAAAGGAGACCTCTTGACTTGTTAAACCATTTCCACATTATACTCAAACTAGGAAACTGTGGTTTAAGCTCTGTGTACAAACCAGGATGAGAGTCTGGTTTCTGGGAAGCTCTTAAACTGCTTTGGACTTCATGGAAACTGGTTTGAGGTCGTCTCTACCAAAACAAACTGGTTTCTTAAGCAGCTTCTCTACATATGAACCAGGCCACATCCTAGTATGGTATAGCCAGGTGCTTGCTATCTCATTTTCCTTGTGGTTTTGACCCACCAGCCAACTTCTGTATCTTTATTATGTCATTGGCACTTGTGTTGTAGGTTCAGTAAGGACCGATAGCATAAATGCTGCATCTGGAATCACAGGGCTGGATTGAACTAAATAGTTGTGGTGGCAGGAGCAAGCACAATGAGTCCCATTAGCACAGCAGAACGTTTTCTCTCCCCGCCCCCCCTGCCAGATTGGCTCGGGGGGGGTGTCAGGAGAATCCCCCAGAACAGTTCACGGGGGAGAAGAGGGGAGATCATTCCACCTGGCAAGCAAAAATACTTGTGCTGACTGAACAATCCTAACAGCATGATGCTGAATTCCTCCCATATTGTGGCCGTGTGGGGAATAGACCCAAGATGGCAACCCCATGATATCCCTTTCAGTAGAGCCTTGATGGGTCTTACTGCAGCCTCCAAAAGTAACTCAAGAACTGAGAGAATTATGGTAATTAAAATTAAAGTAGATTCTTATGGAGGCAATGCATGCTGAGACGGGGATCTCAGAGATAACTTTCTAATGGTTTCATGTTTTCCCCCCCAATGCATGAAGTTTGTGTTAATTTACTAAGTATGTGTGTTTCAGTGGGAACCGGAAGATGGCTTTCCTGCTTCTCGTGGCAGAAACATGAGAGAAGATGGGCTTTATGATAATATGGGCCTGTACGATAACTTGCCGTCTCCGAAAATCTTTGCACGCTACCCACCAGCAGACCGAAAAGCCAATAGGTTATCTACTGACAAACTGTCCTCTAACCACTATAAATATCCTGTCTCATCCAATCTGTCTTCTGCTCAATCTGTCACTAATACCTCTGCTGTGGGGAGGGGATCTGTCTCACAGGTACTGCGCTGCTTATTTCTCTTAATCCAACTTTCTTTTGTGTATCTCTGAGATAATGCACTGGCACCAAACGCTTGAAATTTAACCAAGGCGGCATGCTGCATTGCCAATTGTGTTGTTAATAGTCACATAAGAATGCGTAATATTTTTTGGAGGGTGGAGGAATCAGTGAAATAAAACACAAGCCCATCAACCCATGCTATGCTCCCAGGGGATTCTCTTCATTGGGTTAGTCTAGGTCAGAGCTACCAAACCATTGACCCTCCAGATGTCATTGTTCTACAAGTCCCACTAACCACGCTGGCATGGGGTGATGGGAATTTGGAATCTAACAAGATCTGAAGAGCCATAGGTTGTTCATGCCTGGGCTAGATTTTAAAAGTAGAGCATGCACATGCACACACACATTCACACACAGGTGTTGGCAGTACTCTACTGACAGTTAAGAGTGCAGAAGCCACATGTAATTCATACTGTCTGAGCCTTTCCACTCTGTTGAATAGGAGGCATCCTTCAGTTCCACAAGAAAACATCCACTAATCTTGAATACAAAAGTTACATTTTGAATCTGTATGTGTCCTCAATTCTATGCCCCATTCTCTCTTCAAATTCGTTCTGGGGTGTTATTCTTTCAGAAGCTCCGAACAGTCTGTGAACCCTGTGCATGGTGGGCATTTTCAGATTAAAAAATGAGCTGGTGAAAACCTTCACAAGCAGTTGGGCGGGATGTTGTTGTTGGCAAGGTAGTAACAACCTAGGGGCAAGGTCACCACTTTATCTTGGAATATATTTGAACTGTGGAGCATCTTTTTTTTAAAAAAAAATGCTTTGGTAGCTTATCAACTAAGCTGCTCATCTGAATCCACCCCAAGGTGTTTCCTGAGCTATTTCAATTGCTTTTCTTTTTGACTCCTGGGTATAGGCTGTATATAAATAATAATAATAATAATAATAATAATAATAGTAGTAGTAGTAGTAGTAGTAGTAGTAGTAGTAATGCTGCTCATTGAAAACAGCTGAAAGCCTGTAAATTTTGATAGTAAACCTGATTTGCAATAGGGGTTGAATAATTTTGATTGCAACTGTACATGTTCCCCAAGTTTGAAATTGTTATATGTAAAACAGCTTTGAGGTAGAAAAGTCAAATTCTGGCAGTATAGTTACTTTTGAACGTAGGCAGCAGAATTAGTGCTGAAATTCTGCTTTTTGTATGCAAATTTGAAATTGACTTCCTTTTTTTGGGGGGGGGGGAGTTTCACACTGACCTGATTCATGCTTCACTTCAAACCATAGCAAAAGGGGGCAAGCAATTCTGCTCAAGCGTACTCCCCTGCCCAACTTCCCTCCCCTGACTTCTTTCTCCAATGTGCTGGGGAGTAAACCAGCACTCATTGTTTGTTTCTCTTCCAACAAACCATGATGGTGAGCCAAAGTTTGTTTCTGGCTTACCTTGGTAATTTGTTAGGCGAGAAGTGAACCACAAATGCTGCTTTATACAAAACAGTAAGCCAGCACTTGTGGTTTGCTTCCTTCCCAGGTTCCTGAACAGAGGGACAAAGTATGATCTTTTGAGCAGCATGCACTGCGATTAATTAGCAACATAGATCCTTGCAAAACCATGTGGCACATTCTGAATGGTTCCTCAAAATTTTGAATAGTCACCTGTAGCCTGTGACTTAAGAAATGTGCAGTCTCACTGTTGTGTGCTGCTCAGTAAGAAACTGCAGGTGCTTTTTGTTTTATCTTTGCTCCTTTAGAAGAAGCATCCTTCCCAGCTGAGCTAGTTTTTTAAACTTGTAACCTGCTTTCAATTGGGCAGCTTGGGACAGTTTTGAAGCTTTGTTCTAGGAAAAGTGTAAACCCTGTCATTGAATAATTACTGCTAAATATATATTTAATTACTAAACACATATTTTTTCCCATCAGTTTAAAGGAAAGAAGGCTTCTGCTGCTACAAATGGAATAATGGGGAAAGGAAGAACATTAAACAACCCACAAAAGAAATCAGAATCTGCTTCAAATGTAAAACGCAGCAATTCTAGTGAGTGTTTCCTGTTTAAGGAAAGAAAAATCCACTTTTTCAGTCAGTTAAGATATTTTTAATCAGTTAACTGATGAATCAGCTACATAGAATTGTAGAATCTTAAGAGTTGGAAGGGACCCCAAGGGTCATCTAGTCCCACCCCCTGCAATGCAGGAATCTCAGCTAAAGCATCCATGACAGATGGCCATCCACATCTGTTTAAAAACCTCCAAGGAAGAGAGTCCACCACCTCTCGTGGGAGTCTGTTCCACTGCTGAACAGCTCTTACCATCAGGAAGTTATTCCTGATGTTTAGTTGGAATCTCCTTTCTTGCAACTTAAAGCCATTGGTTTGTGTCCTACCCTCCGGAGCAGAAGAAAACAAGCATGCTCCCTCCTCCATGTGACAGCCCTTAAGATATTTGAAGATGGCTATCATATCCCCTTTCAGTCTCCTCTTTTCCAGGCTAAACATACTCAGCTCCTTCAACCATTCCTCATAAGGCTTACTTTCCAGACCCTGGATCATCTTGGTTGCCCTCCTCTGCACACGTTCCAGCTTGTCAACATCCTGCTTAAATTGTGGTGCCCAGAATTGGACACAGTATTCCAGGTGTGGTCTGAGTAAGGCAGAATAGAGGGGTTCTATTACTTCCCTTGATCTGGACACTAGACTTCTCTTGAATGCAGCCTAGAACATCATTCCCTTTTTTTGCTGCTGCATCACACTTTTGACTCATGTTAAGCTTGTGGTCCACCAAGACCCCTGGATCCTTTTCACATGTACTGCTAGTAAACCAGATGTCCCCCATCCTATATTTATGCATCTGCCTAAGTGCAGAACCTTACATTTGTCCCTATTGAAATTCATTTTGTTAGCTTGTGTCCAGTTCTCCAATCTGATAGGGTCATTTTGAATTCTGATTCTGTCGTCTACGACATTAGCTACCCCTCCCAGTTTGGTATCATCTGCAAATTTGATGAGCATCCCCTGAATTCTTTCATCCAAGTCGTTTATGAAGACATTGAAGAACAATGTAACTTCGCTGGCATGTTTGCCACAGCCTTCCTGACTGCTCTTGCTTTGGTCCACGTATTTAAACCCACATGGGTTTGATTCCTGGCGTGTTTTACAAACCACACAAGTGACAGACATCCCAAGGCTGCAGGTGTCATGTGTGGTTCATAAACATGCCGGGAAGCTAAGAGAAATGTGCTGAAAGGTTTACACCCCTGGACCACAGTTGGCATGGGTGCAGCAACCACACTGGGAAAGAGATGTGACAAGCAGAGAGATCTTGGAATACGGCTCAGAGATTTGGTGGTTACATTTGAGAAAGGATTTGTATGCCTCGGAAAACAGCCACATCTGCTGGATGGCTGTTAGAATGTCTGTGTTGGGACTTACCTTTTTGATTAATAAGAACCTGGGGAGTTGCCTTATTCTGAGTCAAGACCCTTCATCCATTTAGCTCAGTATTGTCTACATGGCAGTGGCTCTCGAGGGCAGTGTTTCCCGAACTTGGGCCTTCAGCTGTTGTTGGACTGCAACTCTTGCCATCCCTACCCAGCAGTAGCAGTTATCAGGATTGATGGGCGTTGTAGTTCAACAGAAGCTGTAGACCCCAAGTTTGAGAAATACTGCATATTCCCAGCATAACCTGGAAGTGCCAGGGAGTGACCCTTAGCTCTCCCACATGCAAAGCAGATACTTAACCACTGAGCCAAGGCCCTGCCCCCCATATAAGAAGGTAAGATTAATAGCATTCCTGCTCTCTGATGCCTAATAGTTAACCTTTATGTGTAGATGCTGAACAGTACAAATATGGAAAGAACCGTGTTGAAGCAGATGCAAAGAGGTTACAGACCAAAGAGGAGGAGCTGTTGAGGAGAAGAGAAGCTCTGAGGAATCGCCTGGCTCAGCTTCGAAAGGAAAGGAAAGACCTTAGAGCAGCCCTGGAAGCAAATGCTGGTATGCTGGGTGTTTGATCTCCTTAGACCATTGTATGACCAGAATCTCAGGAAAGATACTTCCAGTAGCAGGAGAAAGTACATGACTAGTTAGTTAGTTAGTCTTTTCCCGCAACAGAATGCCCCAAAGCAATATGCGGAAATAAAATAGGATAAAAACGCATAAAACATAATCAGAAATATTATCATTGGTTCTTCCTATTACTACTACTAAATAATCATTAAAGGAGTCATGGGGGTAATGGCACCAGGACAGAGATGTAAACTCAACTAGATATTACAAAGGAGGAAGAAACCAAGATTGTATCTGGTCAAATTGCAGTAAGTCTTATGCCTCCGTCTTGAAGTTGCTTGCAGGGTTGTGGCCTCATTGAGTAACTAGGAATGTACAAATCTCCCCCTGCCTCAGATATCACTTACCTTGCCTCTGAATTTCAGGTAGGAAAACACTAGTCATCCTTGAAGATAAACTAAAGAAGTTGGAAGAGGAGTGTAAGTTGAAAGAGTCTGAACGTGTTACTCTGGAACTAGAGCTGACAGAGGTGAAAGAGAACCTGAAGAAAGCTTTGGCTGGTGGCATCACATTGGGACTGGCGATTGAGCCTAAATCAGGAACCTCAACTGCACAGGTACTTCCATTAAAGCAGCAGTTCCCAGTTAGGGATCCGGGGACCCCTGGGGGTCAGTGGAACACACCCAGGATGTCCGTGGCCCCATCCCTTGCCTCCCCCCAACTAAATATTTGTCATCTTTGCATGGTAATATCACAAATTTTATGGTCTATTCTAGCACTGTGCAGTTTTTCAATGTATTGGCCCAAACCAGTTTTGAAATCACACCGCAATAACAATTTTGACCTGGCAATATGCAGCAATATATCACTCCTCACGTGAGGGGAGAGTAGAGCAGCCCGTTTCAAGGTGTTGTCAATATTGCATGATGATCTCAGCCGATAACACTGCTGATCTGAGCTGCCTTCCCTTACGCTGATGGAGAACAGGGCAGCTGATCGCCCTCACTTCAAGGAACTGTGGCACTACCTTCCCCTGGCACTGAAGCAGAGCGGCTTTTCTCAGTCAGCAGGAAAGCAGCAGCAGCCACAGTGGACGTGCATCTTCCCTGGCTGCCTTGCTGACCGGGGGGCTTGTGCACCCCCCTCCCCATCTCCTCCCACTCAAACCATGCAGTGGAAGTGACTCCCCTTCCTCGCCTCCCCCCACCCATCCAATCTCTGCGGCTGCTCCTTCCCTCATCCCCACGCCTGATCTCCAATTTCAGACGTCATTATATATTGGAATATTGTGCTGTCTAGCTGCTGATGTATCACAATGTTGAAAACCAGATATCACTTAGCCCTAGTTTTGTTTTTTAGCGTACCTAAAATTCTTTGCTTATTAGGGGCTAGCCAACATTTTGTTCAAAAAATTGCTTTGCGGTATCAAAAAATTTGAAAGTACTTGACTTGTGAAAAATAGGGGGCCCTCAGTAATTAGCTAATTGGGAACCACTGCATTAAAGTACTGATCTTGTTACCAGATAAAGGCAATTAGTAAACCATCACAGATCAGTCACACTCTGTAGTCCCATCTATACATTTTGGAAAGTCGTTTGCTCATGGTCCACCTGCACACCTCTTAAGCTATTGCATCCTAAATTTGCACGATGGTTCCTGAGACCAAGGAGCAGGTTTTGATAGCTGTCATGATTTCAAATGGTTTTGTATTCTTACAGTCTCCAGTTCTAAAACATCAGACTCTGGAGAATTCACCTATCTCCAGCTGCGATACAAGTGATACTGAATGTTCTGTGCCTGTGAACAGTGCTGTAGTCCTGAAAAGACATTCCTCCTCAAGCACCTCTCCATGCAGAGGCCATGTGCTTCAGAAGGCAAAGGTGAGATCTGCCTCAGCGCCCGATGTTACTCTGCCAATATTTACAGGCTTGGCTTATTTGCTTTTTGCCCACACTAGAGGAGCCAGTTTTCTGTCTCACTTTGGTTCTGAAAGGGTTGCCACTGTTCAGAAAAGAAAAAGTCAATGGCTATCTTGTCTTATAAGGCTGTGATTGCTCTTTTAGTTCACACTGAAGGGAAGAATAGTTGAACATTTTCAGGTCCTCTTCAGTTTCCTATAATACACTCCTTGTATTTTGCTTTAAGAGCTGAAACTTTGTTAAATTATTGTATTTCCCACGGCTTACAAGAATGAGGACTCATCCAGACTTGCTCTTGCCTTCCCCTTTCCCCAGGGAGACCTGATCTTTGCTACTGAATTGGAGCAAATTTCAGTTTGGTTTTCTACAGATTGGTGTCTGTTCCTATTTATTGCTACAGAGTGGGTTTTTCTGGTGAAAGCAGCGGGGCAAGGACAAAACCACTCAGCCCTGTGCTTAGGAGGTGTGGGACAAGCAGCAATCCCCACAAGCCCATGCTTTCTAGGCTTGGGCCAAGCAGAAGGGCTGATGAGCCCTAAGTTTTTGAAATACGTACTCATACATGCTTTGTTGTTCTCAGTCACTGACTGCATACATTTCCCTGTTTATCCTAAGATATTTTTCATTTTCTTGATGATGTGAAAAAAGTACTTTCTAAATTTTATCTATCTGTGGTGTGACCTCACTATTTTAATGTTGATATACATGAGGTCAAATTACTCAACTGAAACAAAACTGAAAATTGGCTCTACTTTGGTTTTATACAATTGGGATTAGCATTCATTCCTGTCAAAGGTCTGCATTTTTCTTACTGGACTCTTGTGCTTGGTATTGCATAGAATTCACTTCCTGAGCCAGGGGTTTATGTTTTTTTTAAAAGGAATTTACACTGGCAAGGAAATAACCTAAAAAGGGCACTTTTAACCATGCAAAAACTTCCATTAAACTTCAATTTAAAAAAATCAAATTACATAATAAATATGTTAAATGTATTTTCACTTTAAACATGATTTCCTGATGTTTAAAGAAATTTTAGCACTTAAAATTAGCAGCAATCATCTCTACCAACTCTTGTACCACTAGCAAGTGGAACAGTCCCATTCTCAGAGTTCTGTTTTTGCTTCCTCTGTCTGTATTCTTGCCAACTGTTCACAGGAGGCAAACACACTTTCCCTCATTTTTAACAGCCTCAGATAATTTCAGTTGTAGGTTTCCCCCCCAGAAACAAACTTCACATCAAGACTTGTGCCTGGATAACAACCGACTCCCTCCTTTTTCATTGGTTGCCTGTTTTGTACTGCACTGCAGTCCAGTTTCCAGTATATCTTTTTTCTGATGCTGTGATTCGCATTTTTGTTACAAAGAAATGCTTTGCCCAGTAGCTGGTGGTGGGTGCAGGAGAGACAAGCGGGACATTATCTCAGTCGCAGAGATGATGCAGTCTTCTTAGGACACTTTCCCTGTAGGGAGTTGCTGGTTTAAAAGCCTCAGGATTTTGTCCCACATGCTGCCTCCCACAAGGCCTTTCTTTTTCTGTGGTTTTAACAGGGTGTGTATTTTTCACTTCAGGGTGTTTTCAAGCAAGCCTTCATGTGGAAGGCATGGCATGCTGTCATGTGAGAAATGGACGTCTTGGACCAAGCCTAGAATATGAGATAAAACCCACTCACAATTTTGATTTAAAAAGGGGGAATTTTGCTTACACCTTAGGCTGCACCCTTCCTTAAGGAGATGGGGCAGGCTTTAGCAGTCTCATTTGTCATCTGGTCCTATCCGGTCCAGTTACTTCCATTCTTCTGGCTGGAAGCCAAGCTTTGAAAGGTCCCGAGCCCCCGTCTCCTACCCCAGAGGTAGGAAGGAAACTGGGCTGGATTCCACCACTACAGTCCTGCTCTATCAAGTTCACACATACTCCTCCAACAGGCCCTTAGTTGCAGTAACTTCTTAAAATCGTATAGCCACATTACCACAGCGGAAAGCCTTTGGGGCCTTATTCCAGCAGTGAGCAGGGGCGGATATACAAAGAATCACAGGATGTTAAATAGCACAATTATTTTTTCAAGCCAGTAAGAATTTTAGGTTCTAGAATTTCTTTCTGGACTTGCCTGATTTCTTCCCTTCCAGTAAGCTGCAGATAATGGAATGGCAGCATGTCTCTCTTGTGTATTAACCTCATGTTCTAGTTCATGTGAAGTAAATACAGATTTGACAAAGATTACTTGCATAAATTGCAATTTGGCCCCTTTTCTGCATAGGCTGTGGCAGCCTGGAATACAGTAAAGTCCACTGAACAACTCTTGCATTTTAGATGTACTTGAGTCAAGTATTACATGACTTTGATATAATGTCTCCCCCTCTAGGAATGGGAGATGAAAAATGGAACATAAAGAAGTAATATCGTCACTAGTGCCTGTTTGGTATGGCTCAAGATGGACTGAAGAAGATTTACCTGCACCAAGATGTAAAGGGTTTGTCAATCCTGTTCAGTTAGTGGTCAATATAGTTTAACACAGCCAAGAGGAGGGCCATCTTGAATGTGTCATTTGTGTTACTGTGACACTTCTTCCAGAAATAACATAATATAAAAGGAACATTTTAAATGGTTACGTAGATGGATCAGGTTAAACTAGCAATTGTGTTGGATGGAATTTGAGATTGGCATGTTTCAGTACCCATTTGAAATAGTTTTAGATAGCTTTAATCATTTGGTACAAAATCAGATGTTGGCTCTCTGTAGAAGTTGCTGGATAAATGTGGGGATTGTCAACTCTGTGGCATTCATTCAGTTCTTACAAGGTTTTTAAAGTAGAAGACTGAAAAACTGCAGCCGCTGTGGAAGTCGTGGACCTGCTGTTTTCCATGGTGATTAGAGACCAAGAAGGATAACACAACTGAAATATTACCTTGGTACTAGTGTAGAACGGCTCCTCCCAGCTGTACTAGAAAGAGCTTCCATCATTTTTAAACGTTATTTTTGAAGATGTTTTTATTTTCTTCAAATGTTTTAGATGGATTCCCCACCCCACAAAAAGCCAATAGAAATGGATCCCACTTCACTCAAAGTAAACAGGACCAATAACTCTCTACTTCAAATTCCCCTCCAGAGTTAAAGTTGTTTTGAGGAGGATATATAGGAAGAAAATAAGGAACAACTAATGTATCATTGCATTCAGAAACATTCCAAGAAAAAAATATCTGATTTTTAAAAAATGTAACACCCCCCTTTTTAAAATAATACCACTTTTCTCTCAATGCTAAAAGGTAAAATTCTTTCAACCCCCAATGAATGTTTAGAATAAACCAATTTTTAATTGTTATCCTTAAGCACCTCTTCTCTTCAGTGATCTCTGCTTAGAAGATGGTATGTGTCCCTGTATTTTTTAAAGAAAACAATTTAATGTTTATTTTTCTAAGTTTATATGACGTTTCTTTTTCCTGCTAAAAGCATGAGTTGTAAGCCAAGAAGTTTGCAGCTGAAAACCCACTTCGGCTGTGAACTTGCTAGGTGGCCATGGGTAGGCTGCAGTGTCTTTGCCTCACCACCCAATCTGCAATATGGGGATAGTAATAATAATAATAATCATTAATGATAATGATACTGGCCTGTCTTGCAGGGTTGTTGCAAATAATGTGTGTGAAATGCTTCAAACGCTTGAAAAGTGGAATATAAATGATCATTTATTATTCTGCACCTCCCAAAGAAATGTCTCATAAGTCTAACAAAAATTTCCTCTGGTACTCCTTAGTATATCTGTTGCCTCAGTCCAGAGTTTTGTGTGATCTTAGGAAAACAGCTGCTGTGCAGATGGGCTGCTCCAAGGTCTTTCCCTCTTCAGGCATCTTGTGTGAGGCAGCTGGGAGGCAGCATCCACTGGCCGGTGCTTCTTGCTCCTTCTGTTTCTTTCCTGAGAACAGACAGAAGAGACCACGATAGGGAGGTTTACGGTGTGATCCTAACCATGTCGACTCAGAAGTAAGCCCTATTGAATTCAGTAGGCTTACTCCCAAGTAAGTGGGGTTAGGGTTGCAGCCTTAGTTAGAAGGGTGTGTCTGCTCCCTGAATTCTTTTTTGCCTCTTTCTGTAAGCAGGCAGTCCTTCCAGGGAGAGCATCTCTTTATCCCTTCTATGGAGCTGAGTTCAGGTCAAGCTACAAGATAGCCAGGACTCTCTCCCGCCCTGCTGCAACACTGACTGCTCTTCTGACCTACCTGCCACTTTGGGGTTGCTCAGCTAAGAGCCAGAGCAGGAACAATCCCTCCCCAAATGACAAGTTTTCCATCCTGCCCTCCCCTGCAACTCAAGGGGTCCAAGGCACCCCATCACCATGTCACGGAGGAGACCAAGCTCAATTCTGAGTTTTAATTTTATGTATGTATGCATTTTATTTTAATAAGATAAATAGGGAGGGGGGAACTACTCAAGAGAGGTGGCATCAATCTTCTTTTGAGTCTTCTATCCCAGCAATATCCTTCCACATAAGATCAGGTAGGCCCACCAGGGACTTTCCAGAAAGGGATAATCAGACCCAAAGTGAAAGTTTCAGCCACCACCCAGAAACTTGAGGATAGGGAAGGCCAGGTCGTAGGCAAATGGCACCTTCTGGATGAGTGCTGTGTTACAGATAAATGTAACAGAGCATTTTTATGTTTGGTTTTATGCTGTTTTATTTACTGTGATTTACAAATCCATTGAAGGCACCCCATGGGCCATAGGATGGCCGAGATCCCTCCTGGTTGGTGGAAAGAGAGAGCTTTGATCCTAAAGGGGGATCTGACGTTGGAGTTCTCCTCTGTGCTGTCATAACAACTTCAGTAGCCAAAGGATCCACAGCCTCCCGGCTCCCCTGATGTCCCCAAACCAGGGAGAAAATTACGTCAGCCCATCAGTTCACTCCATTTAATTTCCAATGGGAGGGAAATTGTGTTTAAAAATCAAGGCCAGAGGTGGGGGACGGGACACCCTTACGTTCACCCTCCCTGTTGGCAGGATCCCTCCAGAACATGGAAGAAGGTGGATAAACTGACTTTGTTTTCCCCACCCAAGCCTTGAGATGTGGTATATATTGCATAGTAGAAGCAGGAATTAAAGCAAACTCATACAATCCAGCAGAATGTGTAAAATTGTAATCAAGACCAGCTCACATTATATGCTGAAATGCTCAGATCTTCCTCTGGTGCTAAAATGACATCATAGTTGGAGACGACAATCCACAAATGGGGTGCTATGAATTAAAGTGTCATCTCTCCCCCCCCCCCCCCGCTGGCCACCACCTACCTAACTTTAATTGGCAGGGGCTTATGGAGGAGGACCTCAAGTTTGGACAGGCTGGTGTGATGAAAGGCGGCTCTTTTACACAGTTCTGCCCTCCATCTGCATGATTTCCATCAGAGGAAGGTTTAAAATTCCCATGAAAACTCCCAACATGTTCCTCGTGCTCCTGTGTTCCTAATCTAATCATTGACACTGACCACACTGTGAAGCTTTGAGGCACTGTCCTTGTTCAGAATGATTAGAGCCAGATCTGAGCACAGGACCATTTGTATATTGAATCTGCCGCTGGTGTCAATGGGCACCACTGCGCATACAAAGAATTAGAGGGCTTGGTTTCCTGCATATGTGACTGGAAAGGCAATCTACTGTCATAGTCCATTGGTGCCCTACTGACCAGCTGTTTGGATTGTCTGCCTGTGGAGGGGAAGCAAACAAAATATCCCCAGAAAGCCCATGCTTTGCTTTCATATCGAGGAAGTGATGAGGGCAGCTCTGCACATGCAAAGGAATTTGTATAAGAACAGCCTCCACTAGTGTCCTGAATGGAGCAGCCCATGGACGGGGTTGAGTAAACCCTGTAGATGCATCACTTGTTGCAAACTGGTCACATAATAAGCTTTTTGTTAATTTCTGAAGCGTGTAGGGAGGATAAAATGCTCCCTGAAGGGGTTAATTGTGGCAAGCACTGCCCACCTCTCTCATTCCATGTTGCTTTTTCCTTTAGTTCTCTGGCCTGTATGGCGGTTTGGCAGGTGTGCAGAAAGGTCATCTATATCCCACAAAATGTCCCGTGCAAGGAGGTGTATACAAAAGTTATTTTATTTAGGCAAATTATTTTAAACTAATTTATTTGTATATTTCATTAAATGTTTAATTTATAGATGTACATATTTATGATATATGCTAGACCTTAGATCAGCACGTTTAATAAGGAAGCAGCTTCTGTTGCTGTCCCTTTTAAACAGATCACAGAGCACAATAACTAGAATAAATTACCAGATATGTGCAATTTTATTTTTCCCTTGTGAAACTTACTTTGAGCAGAGTGTGTATTCTAAATTTCAGTTGCTGCATCTTTGTATCCGCCCCCCTGGTTGGTAAATTTCACTAAACTCAGGCCCAAGACAGACGTGCAGAGCTGGAGGAGGGGGCCTGCTCTGCGTCTGCAGCTTTTTAAGGAAAGGTACATAAGTGAGTGAATGAAATGAAGGAACATCAGGTACCTTCTGTTCCCAGTGAAAGTAGGCTCAATGGAGTTCTGGCTGGCTAACCCTTTTGACAAGCACAAAGTTACCTCCTCATCTGAATTAGCAGAATACTAATTGACTGGTTAGTGTGGCCATCAAAAAGCAGGTGTCCCTTTTTTTTTTTGGTTAAAATAATAATATATATGTATTGGTACATTTTTAAGAAGGCATAAAAATGTGTACCTAAAAATTCTTAAGATGTGCAGAGGACTTTTTAAGAAAACACAAAAGCCTTCCCAAATAGCAGGGTGTGACTGGGAGGACAGGAAACGGGGAGCTGCATTGAGGAGGAGGCGTCCCTGTCTTGGGCCTGAGAGGGAGATGAGTCCCTGTGTAGTTACACCCTTTGAGGAAAACCTTTCAGCAGAGTGAGGGTTTGTGTGTATTGCCCTTAATGCAGAAGGTGGGGATTTGTTTGGTATGCTGACTTTGCAGGAACCATTTTTGTAACTGTATTATTGAACTTCTTCTCCACGAGAGTTAGTACTTTTCAAAAACAAGGCATTGTAAAGGGATTGGGCTGCCTCCCCACAGCCCAGTGGGAGTCCTTCTGATATTCCTGCTGTTATTTGGTTTTTGTCTTGGAAGTGCCAGGTATATACAAATAACGTACAGTATGGATTTATACAGATAAAAAAGCAGAAACAAACCAAAACAGAAAGAACCTCTAAATAGACCATATTAAATGCTGTGAAATATACTCCACCCCTTTCTCAGTGTGTATGTTTGTGTGTGCGCATGCGCAGAATAGTGCTGTGGCAGAGCTCTGAATGGCCAGGAAGGCCTCTGGTTGTGCTTCCAGGTGAGCAGTTTCATTGATTCTAGCTTGGGTAGAAGGGCTCCTGTGCAACCTTCTAGATAAACCAGCTACAAGCATTCTGTCATGCTCTGCTGCGACTTAGAACAACAGAATCCAGGATAAGTCTGCAGATTGGAGAGAGATCTACTTCTCACCTGCTCCCCCCCCCCGTTCCCATCATGCATTTCACACAGGCCTTTAGCAAAGGTTTTACTAATGATCAAGAATTGCTTTAAGGAAGTGGTTTTGTACACTGCATTTCTATGTTTGTGAGGACATTTTACTGATCTAGTATTCCAAAATAAAGTATGAATCAGGAACTGTTTTTTATTTTTGTTATGGAAGTTGTAATTTATGTCATTGGATGGGGATGTGGGTCTACTTTTTAAATATCAGGTTATAATTTGGGGAGCAAGACTTTGCAAAAAATAAATTTTTAATGTATTAATAATTCTGTATCAGTCTTCCATTATTACCAAACCTACCAATGGATCTGAGTTGTTTCACTTAAAAGAATACTCTTGTATTAAGAATGTAATTATTTTTATGATTGTATTTTCAAAGACAAAATCGTATTTAAAGTTTTCCATGAAGAAGGAACACTAAAGCAAGGGGATTTTTTTGTGAGCTGTTTATGTTTTCATATCTCCTATGTTTTATTTCATTGTATTTTACATTTCATTTCTCAGTGTTGGTGTGGCTGCTGTTAGTTATGAAATGCTGGGTCAAGAGCAATCGCTATCTTCTGAGAAAGACAATAGAAGTTTGTAGAAGCCCAAATTGAAAGGAGAAAAGGGCCACACGAAATGCAGGCCTTACTTGTTTTAGTTTTTTACCTTTCTTTCCCAGAAAATAATATGACAGGCACCTAATTGGTGTAACACATTAATTGACATTATTAATAAAAATACCCTGTGAAAACTCAGCCTTTGTATCTTAACTGTTCACTTTTCTGATCTGTTGCATGACAGCTTTTTGGTGATGTCTTGAAGCTGCTGGGAAGTTATTTCTGTCTCTGGGTTACACTGCCAACTTTAGATTGGTTTAGAACAGTAGGGAAAACACAGTAACAGGTTCCTGTGCCTTCCTCTACTACCAGAACATACCGCTAGCCTGCAGCTGCCATCCAGATCACACTTTGGTTTGATCTGGGCCACCTCCAGGGCAGGTGCCACTTGGGGAAATGAAAGCAGAAGCAGAAATATGTTTGGAAGCTCAAATTTCACCTACAAGGTTAAGTTGGGTTCCGGTGATAAGAGTGGAAAACTTTCAGTGTCAAGAGTGTGTTTTGCTTTCACCATCTTTGGCATAGAAGTAATTACCCCTGGACCCCTCCTCCCGTTTCCATGCCCCCCCCGCTCCATGTTCCTTGTGGCCGCAGAGGGTGAGGCGCAGGATGTGATGGCAGTGGTCCAATGGCAATTCCACACAGCTTTTTTTCTTGGGGTATTCAAGGGTGTGCAGGACCGGCACCATTTTTCTAGGAGAAAAGCACTGAATTTACCTTGTGGGATGCTGGAGCCAATGGGATGGCTGTGTCCTCGTCACAGGACACTAGGCAGGAGGAAAGATTCGTGTGAAGTAGGCTAGGCTTCCCCAGTTTTTTCCTCCTTCCTGGCACAGCAGTTCATTCCTCATGGCTCTACTTTTTCGCCAGATAAGTCTTATTTCATTTCTTCTCATTTTCAGTTTAATTTCCTTCCCTGTCATTTTCTCTAGATTCCTGTCTTTAGAAAACAAAACCAAAAAACCCCAACTCTCCCTAAAACCCATTCCTACTTTCTTCCATTTGCTGCATTATTATCTTTTACCCTGTTTTTAGGTAATTGTTGCCATTCTGAAAATCCAGAGTTCCTGTGAACATCTTTTTCTTTCTTTTTCTAGCCTCTCTCACCAGCGCCTCAGGTGCTGCAGCTTTGCTGATTGGAAAGATAAGGAACACTCTTTATTTCTGCAGCGCTTTGGTGGCTTTTGCCACCAAACTGTTTTCTTCTCCTTGGTTTCTTCTTGTCCTTTTTTTCTATTTAGTGCTTGGATTTAAGGGGTTTGTTTTCACTTCTGGCAGTTTGTTTCTTTTTGCTTTCTGTGTTGCTTTGGTGCACAATGGCCCTGAAAGGCTGCGCGCCTTTTTCCCTCAGATCACAAAAGCGGTAAGGGAGGAGCCCTTGTCCCATGGTTTCCTCCGTCCTTCTGCCACCACAGCCACTAGCTAGCCCTTTCCACATGGTGATTGGCAACTCTGCCCTCCTGGTCCGTGGAATGACAGATGGAGTGGGGCCTCTACATTTCTAATTTTATCCCCCAGATGGCTGCTTGCGTGTAACCGAGGCAGTTGGTGGACTTTGCCTATTCCTCCTCCTGGTCCACAGTGTAGCAAATGGAGTTGAGAGCTTATAATTTGCAATCAAGGGCTGTGGCTCTGTAGTCTTTCTGTCTGTGTTGTGCTTCTCTGACTCTTATGGCGCCCCTAACCCATTCACCTCCATAGGTGATGATAAGAATGAGGATTTTCCCTTGCCTTCCTTCCCAACCGTTTTTCAGGAATAGGAGGTGGATGATGATAGATGTGAAGAATTTATGCAGGATGAACCTTTTTCCGTGTGGCTGTTTCAGGAGGCTAGTGCCCTCACCCTGAAACGTAAGATAATGCACATCTTAGAATTAACTGCTCAACCTGACAGATCAGTCACTGAACCAGAGAGTGATGTGTATTTGTTAACTCATAGCCATATCCCATCCAACTTCATGTTGGTTCCCTCAGTGCTTAAGGCAGTCGTTAAACCTGAGCTTGATGCACCTATGCACTCTAAAAGAAATTCTGCCTTAGTTAGCAAACTATATGACTTGACACAACCTTGATGGCAGAAAGTGAGGAGGAATTAAAGAACCTTTTAATGAGGGTGAAAGAGGAGAGCGCAAAACATGGTCTGAAGCTCAACATCAAAAAAACGAAGATCATGGCCACTGGTCCCATCACCTCCTGGCAAATAGAAGGGGAAGAAATGGAGGCAGTGAGAGATTTTACTTTCTTGGGCTCCATGATCACTGCAGATGGTGACAGCAGCCACGAAATTAAAAGACGCCTGCTCCTTGGGAGAAGGGCAATGACAGGCCTAGACAGCATCTTGAGAAGTAGAGATGTCACCTTGCCAACAAAGGTCCGTATAGTTAAAGCCATGGTCTTCCCAGTAGTGATGTATGGAAGTGAGAGCTGGACCATAAAGAAGGCTGATCGCCAAAGAATTGATGCTTTTGAATTATGGTGCTGGAGAAGACTCTTGAGAGTCCCATGGACGGCAAGAAGATCAAACACATCCATTCTTAAGGAAATCAGACCTGAGTGCTCACTGGAAGGACAGATCGTGAAGCTGAGGCTCCAGTACTTTGGCCACCTCATGAGAAGAGAAGACTCCCTGGAGAAGACACTGATGCTGGGAAAGATTGAGGGCACAAGGAGAAGGGGGCGACAGAGGACGAGATGGTTGGATAGTGTTTTCGAGGTTACCAGCATGAGTTTGACCAAACTGCGGGAGGTAGTGGAGGACAGAGGTGCCTGGCGTGCTCTGGTCCATGGGGTCGGACACGACTAAACGACTAAACAACAACAACAACAACAAATGACTTGAATCCTGAATTCATGGCATATAGTCTTCTCCTTCTATAGACAGACCAGTTTTAAATCTGTCCTTGCAACATCTGGTTCCCAAGAAGGAAATGCTCAACTTTGGGACACTACTGATAGGAGAATTGAATATGCCTTACTAAGACCCATGATGCAGCGGCCCCCTCTATGAGAGCTGCCTGCATCGCATCCTCATGTGCTCGAGCATATATTGTTTGGTTAGAGGATCTGTTGCAATCTCCTCCCCAATATCCAGCTCGACAGCAACAGATTCTTGCCAAACTCCTTAAAACTTAAGTATGGCAAATGCTTCCATGGACTTCATGCAGTTTGCAGCTAGAGCAGTGGCATCCAGGTAGCTGTAGATGCACTCTGTGGCTGAAGTCCTGGAATGCTGGTGCTGCCTCTAAACCTTTCCACTGAACCTTTTTCAGGAGGTCAGCTTTTTGGAGAAGTGGTGTTGAAAGATGTCTTTATAGAATCAAAAGATAAGAGAAAAATCTTGCTGACCCAGAGAGATGACAAGCGCCCAACCAGGTGTTTCTTCCGACTCTTCTTGTTTTCAATCCTTTCACTCCCAGAATAGGCAAAGGGACGTCAGGTTCAGACCTCAACCCTTTAGACAATGCTTCCAAGGCAGGCAAGGGTTTCATCGCTTTCCAACTTTTTCTAGTACGAAAGCCACAAAACAGCAAACACAATGGCGGATCTGTGCCCCGGGTGCGGGGGCCAATTCTTTCCCTGCTCGCCTGGCAGACGCCAGTATCCAATTGCTGGGTTTCAGAAATTATTTCATAGAATTCATTTCCGTCCGTCCCCCAACGTTTCATTCCCTTGCCCTTGCCAAGAAATAAAGTACGTTTGCAAGCTGTTTGGACTTGTGTTCGCCATCTTCTGTCTGTGGAAGCTATAGCTCTGTTCCCTCAGATCAGCACTTTCGTGGTTCCTACTCCAAATTTTTTGTTGTGCCAAAAAGAGATCCCCAAAAATGGCATCCTGTTCTCAATTTACACTTCCTCAACCGTTACGTGGCTTACAAGAGATTCAAGATGGAATCTCAGAACTCAAACTGAGAGTCCTTACACCAGAGATTTCATATTGAGTATCAATCTCTTAAGACGCATACCTTCACTTCTCACTCCATCCCACACATCAACAATATCTTCGATTCACCCTAGGCAACCATCATTTTTCAATTCAGGACACTCCCCTTTGGCCTCTCCTCATCTCCAATAATTTTCTCCAAAGTAATGTGCTCGTGGCACAGCACACCTCCGCCTCCAGGGGGTCAATATTTTTCCCATTGGCTCCAGCATCCCTACTCCCAAATATACACTTCAGGTAAGACCAATCATTCTTTCTACATATTATAACCAGAATATGGCCAGTTCTGATCAATGCAAAGCAACTGGACCAAATTCAGCCTCATATTATATGTTAAATCCTAGCAATTGTGCATAGAAAGGTTATAATAATAATAATTTATAATTATTTATTATTTATACCCTGCCCATCTGGCCTCTGCATGTACTCTGACTCAGCGCCTTAACTTTACCCCCTCAAAAATAAAGACAAAATCAAGAGTGTCAAACAACTTTTAATAAAGGAAATTTTGTGGTACAGTTTCTCAGAACAAATGCAAATTTGCTGTGGGAAACAGCAATTGACCTGCTTACATATTTTGATGTAGATGTGCATAAAGCTGCATTGTGCACCTTATGTACTTATTTATCAAATCAGTGGCTGCTCCTAATTCAGAGTCTTCAGCTACTTAGATTGAACTATTGATTGTGCAATTGAACCATAGTTAAGTGTTAACATAAAGTCTCTTCAAATGTTTTAGTTGCTGCTGCTCAAAACCAGAACACATCACTACAAAATTGCCACTACAAATATACAAAAATATACTGGCTCCTCCATCCTACCCACCCTCTAGCCAGTTTGGCAATCAAGACTCCCACCCCTTATGTACCAAGAGACCTGGCTAATGATATCTAAAATAGTTATAGGAAAGTGTGTCTGGTATTATCACATCAAAATTAGGTGAGGCAGAAGTAAAAGATTGGAAAACTTGTGATGATTATTAAAAGCATATAAACATATTGAACATATTTCTGAAATCTGAGTACAAATCACTGTTTATAAATTATTCCTCATGCTCCTGGACGTTTGGAAGATAACTTACACCTTCATGGCATCACAGTTGACTCAAATCTACATCCAGGAGCTGAAAGCCTTTAGTGTTACTGTATTTCCATATAAAGAGACACAAGCATTTCTCATGAGCCTAAAGTCTAGTTCAC